AACAACAAGTTTCACTTAAGCCAAACATAATTTCGTAGTCAAGCACTGTAGCCAAAGCCGTGAATGCTATTAAGAAAAATAATTTCACAAATTTTTTTATTATGCCTAGGCTTCGAATTTATCTACCGGTTTACTAAATAATTATTATTTACTTAACGAACTTGTGTGCGGCAGGCTGCTAATATAAGGTTGTCAAATATCTCCCTTCCGCTTTTTTGCTCTTCATTCAATGCTTTATAAAAAGTGTTACAGTGATCGAATTTTGTTAAAATATGCGCCGTTTTGTTCGATGATCTGTTTCCATCTAGACGGCAACTTCATAATACCTTCCTCGTAGAAGCCCCCCTCCTTATTTGCGAAGAATTCGGACAGCCACTTTTCACAAGCCTCTTTTGAGTTCAACTTCACACCACCAAGGGCATTCGCCATGGACAGGTGGTAATCACTTGGCGCTACGTCCGGGCTATATGGTGGATGCGATAAAACCTCCCATCCGAGCTCCCGTAGCTTCTGACGAGTCATCAACGAAGTGTGTGGTCTGGCGTTGTCCTGGTGGAACACTACACCCTTCCTGTTGGCCAATTCTTGACGCTTCTGGTCGATCGCCTGCTTCAAGCGGTCCAGTTGTTCGCAGTAGATGGTAGAATTAAGCGTCTGGCTATATGGGAGCAGCTCATAGTGGATGATTCCCTTCCAAACCTACCAAACACACAGCAAAACCTTCCTGGCCGTCAATCCCGGCTTGGCCACTGTTTGGGACGATTCACCGGCCTTCGACCACGACCGTTTTCGCTTGATATTGTCGTATGTGATCCATTTTTCGTCGTCAGTCACCATCCGCTTCAAGAATGGGACGAGTTCGTTCCGTTTCAGCAGCATATAGCAGGCGTTGATTCGGTCCAGAAGGTTTTTTTGCGTCAAATTATGCGGCACCCAAACATCAAAGTTTTTTTGTATCCAGCCTTCTGCAGATGGTTCAAAATGGTTTGGTGACTAACTCCCATCTCCTGGGCGAGTGATAGAGTACCATCCCCCAAAACACCATTAATCTCACGGAACGTTTCTCTAGCGGATTTGCCTTTAACGAAGGAAAACTTTAAAATAGCGTGAATTTCGGCGTTAGTGAACTCCATGTTTACACGTCTATAACTGTTGAACGCAATATCCAAACTAATCATGCATAGCGTTGCTTTGTAGGTCATGTCAAGACCTTTCAAATTATGTATAGTGTTGCCAGATACGAGCTCTGTAGCGCTTTGTACATAGCCGCGAAATTCAAAAGACAAAAAAGCGGAAGGGAGATATCTGACAACCTTTATATTAATATTATATATATAATATATATTGGCGACAGTTGTACGCTTAAGTCGTCACTATTTCATCCGAGATGATCGAAAAAGTGATGGAAATTACGAAATGTGTTCCAAAAATAATTGAACTCTTGGCCAAAAACAATACTGTAATGAGTGGAAAATATCGAAAGGGGACTATTTCGAAGGCGACAATATTAATGTAGACGAATGAATAATTTTTTTTTTCAAAAAAGGAGTGTTGTCGTTAATTTTTGCAAACACCTTTTAAATTTTAAAGGTCAAAGTTAATTAAAAATACCCAAGCTATAAAACCATTTATTTTTTTTAAGCTAGAAAAGCTAGACGATGGAGAATTTTAAGGTTACTCAATATTTAATACCATTACAAAAATGGCGCACCCGGTATATACATATGTATGTAATCCCTACTTCCATGAAATAAAAACCAATTAAATTTCTTTACATTTTTTCAATATCCATTGTGATTTATTTCTTCAAATATGTTTCCTGTTTTTGTTGGTTAGTTGTTTTTGTTTTAGGTTTCTTTTCTGTCTTTTAGTTTTAACTTCTTTCAAAAGTCAACGTACATTGCATATGCACCGTTATATCTGTGTTTTAAATATATGTAGATTTATCACTTAACAATTTCTTTGGATAGTGCTTAAAATAACGTAAAATATTTGCATCTTCTGTATTTGTTTACGTTTCAGTACACACAATCCATTTAATAGAGATAAACGAATCAAATGCACTACACTAATACATACATATACAGATCAGCTTGTATGTGTTGCTGCAATTGTTGTTTCATTTTATCTTTAGCGACAGGTAGTACATCATTTACAAAGAGTGAGTTTTTGTTGTTGTTTTTTATTATTATGTCAAAGTTTTATTGAAATATTAATTAAAATTAATTTACTTAGCGCTACTTAATTGGTTGGTTTTCGTTAGGTCTCAGATTTGCTGTCTTTATTTTTTATTTTTTGTTGGTTTTCTATATTATCGAGCGTCATTTTAGGTTCTTGCGTGTTGAAGAATTTTTACTTGCATTAATTTTGATTTCCTAAAAATTTATTTAAATTATCTTAAATAAAGTTTTTAATTTAGTACTAAGTATTTCAATTAATTTTAGAGACTTTTTTTGATCTTATTACAATTTTATACAGGATTTGCTTAATCTATATACATACAGTTCTAGCATAAATTCATTTGTTTGCATGTTAATTTAAAAATACTCATCTTAAAGACGTTTAAGTGAACAACTTGGAGCAAAACTATACACATTCTTATACACAGCTATACAATTCAGACATTTACACAACTATATGTGACATTAAAATACACACATACAAATAAACAACTGCGAAGACATTATAATGATTAGTAAGATATTTCATTTATGAGGTGCAGTTCGCATATTTATTGATAGTACCATTAAAAGTAATTGTTTTCAATGGCAAGAATAATTTTTTCCTATAATATCAGTAGCTTTCTGTGGCATGTACAGCAATTTTCTAGAGACCTCTAGTACGAAAGGGTCACTAAAAGACGACATGCTGCAGAAAAAAAATTTGCGCAACATGTTTTGTCCAAAAGCTGCGATAATAGAAATAAGTCTAGTAAACATGTTTTTGAAATTTATTTTTAACATATAAGAAATACTATTAGAAAATATTATAAAAATTTCAAAGTTGAAAAAAAAACATTTTATGAGATTCTGCTTGATACATTCAACAACATAAACTTTTTATTTTGTTTTAAAATTTAACAATTTGCAGAATGTATTTCTCCCAAAAGATTGTTAAATTATTTGTAAAATGAACTCTCTGAATTTTCATATTCTTCAAGTCTTCTAAATTAAGCAATTAGTAGATGTTTCAAACGGTACGCTAATTAAGTTAATTAGCCACAAATTTTCACACATACGCGGTTAATATTATTCTCAACCGCTGTTAGCTTAACTGGATGATAGTTTTAACTAACAGAACCATTTTCACGAAGTTGTGGTTAGCTTATCTACAGATAGTTGGATTATTGTGAATACATGGGAAAAACTGTTCCCATAACTTGCATTGTGAAAGCGCAAAACTGTGCACACGTTATGAGTTATGTATGTGCACGTTCAGAGGAGGACTCTTTTAATATTAGTGTCACTTTCTTTTGTATGTAATATGCAAATACGTATAATCTATAATGATAATTAAAGATAAAAGAGTCCCCGTCTGAACGCCGTTTATTTTATTATAGATTTTACAGCTGACAACTGTCATTACATGTTCTGGTTAGAAACTAAAAAAAGCCTCCTTCTTTGGTGTAAAATTTACCAGAATTTAACTGACGGACTTACCAGATAATGAGAAAAACAATTTTTAACTTATTGCCGATAAAGTTCTGGTTAAACGCTCAACCTTACAATGATAAAACGGCATTTAATTACATAATAAGATTCTATTGAACAATAGTAAATTTAATAATATTATAAATATAATAATAAAATCCTTTCGATGTTCAATTATAAATGTATTCAAATTAATTCATAAAAATTTGATTAGCTGAGTTTTTAATTTGAGAAACTATAATAACAAAGTATTTGGAATATTTCAAGTACCACTAAAGTAACAAGTAAACAATTTGGAATTCAAAACATTAATCGCTCGTCGCATCACTGTGCTAACACTATTTACTCTGTTTAGGTGAAATATTAAAATGCGAAACTTACAATTACTATTAATTAGTGAATTGGAATTTGAGTTTGGAAAATCTTTGTTATGCATGTGTGCAATAATTTTGCATATACTTATAATCGGTGTGAAGTGCCAATTTAGTGAATTGTATGATGGAAGAAGTGAGTTGAGTTATGATATTGCGAAGTGAATTCCATTTTTGGCCATCTATTTTCATACATATACACACACATATAGTATGTATAATTTTGTTGTGTTCGTAAGTGCTTTATATTAAATTTTCATATATTTTTTTTTAAGAAATTGACATTTTATATGAGCTTTTATTTATTGAGTGGTAAAATGTGGTTCATTTAGCTATATAAATATTTATATGCATACATACAGAACTGTTTATTTACAACAATATACACATATATACATTTGTGACTTTCTCGCTTCTTGTATTAATTTGTTATTTTTTAATAACACAATTTGTAGTCTCAAGTCTGTAGTTTTTTTTACACAAATATCAAATTTACACTGGAAAAGGAACATTTAAATAGTAATATACTATCAACATTTAAGTTGGCTTACGGATTGCATATATATTTCTAAATTTCTCTTTTATCTGTAGTTGAGTTCAGCTTAAGTTTGGGCTGTGTGTATTATTCACGGCAATTTTCGAAGCACAATTTCTTTTACGTAAATCGTCCATACATTTTGTGTATTGTGATTTAGCTACAACAATGAAGACGTTTAGATATTGATGGCGGACATAGTGTATGGAGTTCAGCGAAATATTTTATATTTTATTTATTCAATGCGGGGGGAATTTACTGAAAAATCGATGTTTGCGGTTGTAGTCATTTATATATTATATGTTAGGGTGGAAAACTGTAAGACGGAGGACCTACCTGTTACAATTAAGAGCTCATACGTGAAGAGACATATATAGACTCAAATCGAAATAAATAAAAATAAAAATATTATATATAATATATAAATATTTATATATATATATATTTTTATATATTTATATAATTATAATTAAATAAATAATTTTTAAGCTGCTAGATCGTTCTTAGTTTTAATTATTACTATATATTTTATTAAACTCGATACCACATATATATATATATATATTAAATTTTAATTTTTCCTACTTTGAGAGCAGTTGAAACACCTAACGTTGTAGGTGGTGGAATTTATGGATTTTAATAAAATATTTAGTAATAATTAGTTAGAGGATGATCTACTTGTAGTAGTCTTAAAACTATAATTAGATATGTATATATTTTCAAAAAATTTTGATATACGAAAATCCTTCGTAAATGCATTAAAAATTTAAATGAGTAGTTTGGTGACAAAAATAAATATTTTTATTTTAATTTATTGCGATATGAGTTAAAATTCTACAACGTAGAATGTGCGCGGCTAGGCTTGCTAGCGCATCTCTTTAACTCAGTATTCTCTGAGCTTTGCGACGGCTACTGGCAAATCTAAAGTCTGACTTGATGATGGACTTTTGTTCAACGTAAAATTAAAGTGCATGACTATGTTTGCTGCTCTTTAAACACGAAGTGTGCTACATTCTGATTTTTGCATAAAAATTATTAATCACGGGTATGTGGGACAGCTAGCAGCAGCAAAAATGTGTAAATAAATAAATTAGTTATTTGTTCCTCCATATTTGTGCTATTGAACGCTAAATTTTTCTTTAAAAATCTGTAAGATTTTCGCTGGATACGAAGTAGGGATTGTGTTGTTGTATATTGTGACATTTAATTATTTCAAATGCATTCAGTTCTTTTTTAGAGTTTTGCACTTTCGCTAATAGTGAAGCGTTTTTCAATTAGTTGTTATTCATTTCAGTAATTTACACTTTTCTCTTTCATGTTACACATATCTAAGTTGATAATTTTTGTTTTGTTTTTTTAAGATGTTTAAGTACTACCCTACTAAATTTAGTTTTTATACATTTATCTAATTATTCTAATTACTTAAGTTTTTGTATTTAATTAGCTTGCCTAAATACTAGAAATTACAAAAAGTAATTAGCTTCATATACATACATTAGTGTACAATTCTCTGCTATGTACATTAATCTCAATAACTACACTCATAGCCTTAAATTACTGGCTTTACTAAGTAGTAACAGCATTATATTTTTTGCATACCTAATCACGCTTCGAGCAAACACGCTTTTTTTTAGCGTACAACACAATTTCTTTACATATACATTTGTAGCCGCGCGTTAACTTTTCAAAAATTTTGAGAACAAATAAATTTCAAATACGAAATTTCGAAGTAATATGTAAAAAGTAGACATGTGAATCGTGAGTTAAATAAAAATAATTAATTTAACTTAAATATTAATTAAACATTTATTTTAGGTTCAAATGGGAGCAGACAATTTCTCAGAACTGCTGGGCGCACACGTTACGTATACGTCATGTTGGTTTATAACCCTCTAATGCTACATAATATGTGCTGTTATGATATGTGGAGCATATGGCATTAAATTTTTGAAAATTAAATATAAATTTTTAAGCTTTGAAAGTTTTAAAATTGAGTTTAGATTATCGGAAATCATGTTTGGTTAAGCCTTTAATTTATGAACGCTCAACGTAGCTTTTAAAAGCAAATTCATTTTGCTGTGGTATTAACTTATGCAGTAATGTTTATAAAAATTTAACAATTTAGATTTAAAACTTTTTTATAATAAATTGTTTTTTGTTAAATTATGTTCTTTTATCAAACAAAAGCTGCAATAAATGTAAATTTTATAATAACAAATATATGAAACTGCTTATGACAAAAATACATTTTTTTAATATTGTCGCCATATCGAAATTGATTTGATTACCAATACATTTTAATATTCACATACTTTTATTTCCAACTTCATTTTTATGTAGGCCACATTAAAATGGTGACGTTTTTAAAGCAAATTGCAAGCAAGACAGAGCGAGAAAAAAACACAGCAAACGAACGTAGTAGAAGTAAGAAATAATAATTAATAATAATAAATTAAAATACTTAATAATTAACATATATATTTTCAAAGTAATTGAAAGATTAATTACCCATTCCATTCCACAAAGAGGCGTTTATATAGAGAAAAATCATGTTTCAGAGCTTTTTTACACATGCAATAACTTTCACACGCGACACTCATTATGTCATCAACTCAATCAGACCAATTTAAATGTAAAAGTTATACTTTTCAAATTTCCACAAATCATACCCAGTCTCTTACGACATAATTGAATTCCGTTTCGCTTAATTATGTCTAATGCATGCTATGCGCTTGCGTGACATCATTTTAGACGCAACTTTCCTGCTGCGAATACATTAGCGGCGTTCGTACCGTCACAATTTCACGCGAATACGATTTGCCAATGGCCGAGAGACCCGACAGCGAACTGCTCGGACTTGTCACGGCCGCTGTTGTTGTAGCCGAGCCAAGACCACTGCTATTGCTCGACACTAACATTTGGCCGGTGATTTGCTGTTGTTGTAATTGTTGTTGTTGCTGTTGCTGCTGGTGCTGCTGGTGCTGCTGATATGTCGGTGGCATTGGCAACGTACCATGATGTTGATAAATATTGCCACCGGCGCCATGCATAACACCCGCAGCCGCCATCATTTGTAGCATCGACGTGGCGGACGTATTGTGTTGCTGCTGTTGTGGTGGTTGCTGCTGTTGTTGTTGTTGTTGTAGGTGTTGCTGCTGCTGTTGCTGCTGATGATGATGGTTGTGCGGCAGCGTATGATAACCGCCCGGATGCGAGGGCATTGTATACATCTGCACGGTGCCGGGCGACACCGTCGAGGGTGTGCCTTGTGAGGCTGGCGACGAAATGTTTGGCGGGAACGGCGATACAGATGCCGATGATGGGCAACCAGCATTTGTTGTGCCACCCAACGTTGTTGTCTTGTAGTGATCTATTTGCGCATATATCGTCGGCTCTTCAAAGTAATCGTACGATGGTGGTGGTGGTGTTTGTTGCGCCGCCGCTGTTGACTGCGACTTGAGGCGTTGTAGTGTGCTCGCACCGGCATTGGCCGGTATGTTGGGCAACAACTTGCGTACACTGGTACCGTGCGGCAGTGTGCCGCCGATAGTGACAGACATGTTGTTTGTATTTATGCCGGCGCCTTGTAACAACATGCTGCTGCTGCAATCGACCGAAATGGACTTTTTTGGTATGCCACTGGTGCTAGCGCTACCGGGCGCAAGTGTTAGCTCAGCATAGTGTAGCTCATCATCCTGCAATGTTGGAGAATTTGAAAGTTGTTAGAAACAATTATTTTTATTTTAGAGGTGTAGCATATATACATGTACTATGTGTAATCTGAATGAAGATAAAGTCGAGCAATATTTTTTACTGTTTGAATTTGGCAAATAAGCTAAGCGGTATGATAATTATAACCTGAATAGGCAAACTTAATAGCCAAGATGTTTGTACCACTTAAAAGGAAACGTCAGAGACGCTATAAAGTACATATACATAACATGATAAGCACGACGTGCTGAGTCAATTTAGCCATGTCCGTCTGTCTGTCTGTCTATGTGTACTAGTCCCTCAGTTTTTGAATTATCCTTCTCAAATTTTACACCCATACTTCTTTCACCAAGGATCTTCTCATTTGTCGAAATGGCCGATATCGCGCTACTATAGCATAAAGCTTCCATACAAACTGAGCCTGAATCAACTGCTTTTATGGAAAACTATTGTATTTCGTTTGACGAGATATATTCACAAAATTCGGCACGCGATATTGCCTAAAGCAATGACACAATCTCTGAAGAATTTGCTCAGATCGGATTACTCAGACCTACCTACCTTAAGGTCAAATATAATATTTTTATGATTTCACCATAACCACAACGTAATTAAAAAAAATTGTTTTTTAAGCTCGCATTGTTTTTGTCTTGCCTTCTGTTGTGCCTTTTGTTGACTTTTTATATAAGTACTTGTAGCTTACTTTTCTTGAGGGAGAAAGAAGTGCTGAGTTTCATAAAAAAAATAAAAAATATATATAGGTATATGTATATACTCGTATATATACAAGTTTGTATATATGAATAAAATTACCTGAACCAAAGTCGGCTGACACTTTTCATGCACAATTAATGCAAAGTAAGTCCGCAAAGTTATTAAACATTCAATTTTGTTGTAAAGCAAAGTAATTAAAACTTTGGTTGGTTGTCTACAAGAAATCATCCTTGTGCTAGCACGTGTACCTACCAGCCAACCTACATCTATATACATATACCATATATAGGTATACTGTTATAGGCTGCCATCTTATCACTATTGCAACGGCATATCTTCCTACATTTACTCCAGCCATTCACGACGTTTTCTATCTTCATTATCGACGCACCAGTTGACGATGTCTTTGGCAAAACAAAAACCCACCGCTAACTTGTCCGTCAGCTTTAGGTGTGTGTGTGTTTGTGTTCGTTAATAGGCCAACGCAGGCCACAACCATGGCAGACAAGTGAACAAAAGAGAAAGGAAATGCAGCCAAGTAAGAAAAGCAAAAATAAGTAAAAACTTTGGAATTTAAATCGAAAAAAAGTCCAATAGCGCCGTCCTAAGAGTTTTCTCAAGTGAAAGATAGCAACCCACACACACATAAGCATACAAGATTGATGAATTAATTTTATGACAATAAAGCAGCTACAAAGTGTGTGTGTATTTTCGGAGAGCGCTTGTGCGTGCGTTTGCTACTCACCTTGTTGCTTTTGTATGCGCCAAGCTCGTCCGTTAGCGGTTTACAGCTAATTTCCGCTTCACTTGTCGTGGACAGATGGCCGGATGGTGTTTGTGTTGCTGATTTCTGTTTGTATTCACCATCGACTGCAAAGAAAGGCACATATTTAATTGATGCATAAATGTATGTATGTGTGATAGTGTCGTGGCGTATATATGTATTTATTCACTTGCAAGTTTAAAATTTGGTTGACTTTTGGAAATTTTCGGGAGAAGTTTTGCCCAAAAAGTTTACCATTCATGAATAATTATGAATTGAGCATGTTCGTTATGATGTAGCATCATCTTCTAACTAGTCTCTATATATTTTGCGCTAAAAGTTAACATGTTGCACGGATAACAATAGTAGTGTTTACCTAACGGTTATTTGTAAAATCTAAAACTAATCGGGTTAATATATCTGCCCTCATGAAAAGAATATACCTCAATGATAAGGATGACAAGACGAATCTGAATTTATGTATACAAATTGATAATGGGCGTGGCATTGAACCCTTTTAGCGTAAAATCCCATATCTCAGCAATTTTTCGTTCAGTTTAAGGCATATTTGGTCTTTAATATTATCTTCACAGTTAAAAATTTACCGCAATTGGACTATAACCACGCCAACTTACCACACAACTAAACTTATATTCATACTCATACTTTCACTTTATAATATATTAATCAATCACGAATGAAGTCACCGGAAAAAAAATTTGCACAAATAGTACAATTTAGGTATGTCACCTCTATGTTAGAGGTCAAAAACGTCATATAAAATTTCAAAGCCTCAGATACCGTGCCACAGTGCCTATGGCTGACTCTTTGTTGAAAATAGCGGTCAATCTGTAAGAAATCTTTATAAAATTGAGATGGCGTCTTTCCATGATATTAATGAGTTCTGCAACAAAGTAGATCAATACATTACCTATTCTTCATATGACTCATATAATGATTTTCTAACTTTCGGTTGATTTTATAACGCGTATATATCGGTCAATATGAAAATATAGCAACAAAACTCTAAGCGCATCGTTTCCAGATAATATTATGATAACATATGTTAGTAAAATCTTGTATAAAATTTGTTGCCGAAAATAGGTTGAAAACAGTTCAAGAAATAAACCAGCTTCTATATATTATTTATATTGGTTTTCGTTATATTAACTATTATAAACTTTTACCAACACCTGGAAATAGTTAGGCACCTTTGATCCCTTCCACTTAAGATAGTCTAAAATTTTCAGCCACGCCAGAACTTAGGCCTTCCTTACATCCATACATCTTAATATTTGTGTTTGTTATAAGCGTCTTGAATTCTGTATATATGCGTGAAAACTATATAAGTTTGCCCGAAGATCGCAGACAAATTCCACTGTTATCATATTTCCAACCGAACTTTAATGACTTTAAAAAGTGCAAGTTTTCGGCGTCTTTTTATCTACAAGTACCTTTTAACATTATCCGACGAAGAGCGAATAATTTTAATTTTAAGCCGCCTACGAATGGGTAGCGGATATTTATTTTAATGCGAAACATTTTCAATTAATTGTGACCACACATTTCCAGAAAACGCCGTTAAAAGATATTTCGGTTCTATGTAAATATGTACGCACCTGTAGTTACGTACCGTTTGGTTAACTGTCAACAAAAAAATATTTCATACGAATGAATGAATATTCCTGCCACTTGTAACGGCGACAAACTCTTGGCCTACAAGCAACTGTACTGCGGGCACCATCATCTGATGCTCGCCTGTGCTTTCATTTAAAGGCACACAACTGCCAAGTAAAATGCGTTCTTCACAATGCCAGGGATTTATCATGATCTACTTATGTACTTGTACTTGTATTTATGTGTAAACACTGTCTTTATTAATACATATGTACTTGTATATATATGTGGAAATGCCACTACACCTTCGCTCTTCACTAACACGCTCAGATACATATGTACATTCAGTTCAGTTAACTGTTTTTTGTTGGTTTTGCTTACTCACCTTCATTGTATGGCACAACATCCGGATTCTTCTCGTCGTACATCTCCTCCGAATGACTTAATGGCAAAGAGATTTTGTCCTTAATTTGTAAATTGCCTGGTCGTGAGAATTTTGCATTTTGATGTTGATATTTTTGTTGTTGTTTGTGTGAACGTACTTTTAATGCTGCAATCGTACCGATGGTAATGCAGACCAATGCCACCAAAATGCCAACGAAAATGCCCACAGACAGTATGGGTGTGAGTTCGAAATTGGATTGTGTACCCTTGTAGGATGTCAACGCAACTGTAAAGATGAAGAAAACAACAAATTGTAAAGATAAGCTCCTTGTCAATACTACACTGTAAGTACATATATGTGCTAAATGTAAGAATTAAATTGTAGAAGGCTATATTACAACAATCTACAGTAAATTCAACGTTAACGAAGCGATAATATTTACATATGGAAGAAATGCGATAACCACCAAAATTTAATTCAATGCAAAATGGGGAAACGCTATAAAAACGACGCGTCTCCGCTCGCATTGAATTAAATAACTGATGTTTTTTTTTGAGTTGTATGGTTTTCAATGAGGAAATACTTTCATTGACGCTACTCTTTTTGACAGCTGTTACTTGATTTCTGCTTAGTTTGGTTTGCCATTTCATACTGAACAGACTTACTCTGGAATAACGTTTGGTAAGTTTCGATTCGCCCGACTCTTTGCGCACTACGTCCAATATTCAGTCAACATAATCACCTAGCAGAGTCGGTAATACGAGCAACCATGGACCGGGTTCACAGCACGTTTACTCTAGGGAATATTGCGCATCCTCAGAGATGCCGTACAGTACAGAGCAAGTAACAAAGAAGACACGCGCGAAACAATTGAAGCTGTGCCCACTCACTTAATGGAATATTTTGCGAAAGCATCTTGGTTTGCGGACTTAGAAAATTCAGTTTCTGCAAGAATTGAACGAATGACTATCAAGCACGTCGCACGTTTGGTGAATGGACCCAAAACGAGTTGGCCACCGGTCCCGATTTTCACCAAAGAATATAGTTCAGTCATGAAGCTCACTTTTGGTTAAGTTGGAGTGATGGTAATCCACAAGCCAGTATTAAGATGCCAGTACATCCTCTAAAATCATTGCTCTATGGCAGAGAGAATCATTGGTACATATTTCTTCAGCAATGAAGCCGATCATAATATTAAAGTCAATAGCGCCAACGAAACAATAAGTTTTTTGAAGGAAACGTTGGTCAGCGCATTATTTTGCATTGCGAGCCTTCGGCCTGGCCTCAAAGATGGTGCGATTTAACATATATTTATTGTATATTGGTGGTTTGTTCGGTTTTTATCTAAGAGATGGCGTTACTGTTCATAGTACTAGTATGGCGCTGAAAACGTGTTTATTCGCTTTAAAAGCAATGAGAAAATTCGCTATATTGTACAATTTTTCTTCGATCAAGGCGAAAAAGCAGCCAAAGCGGCTGAAAAAATTAATTTAGTTTATAGGCACGATACTGTTAACGAACGTGTAGCACAAAAGTGGTGTGCTAGGTTCCGTTCGGGTAATTTCGATGTCAAAGATGCACCACGCGTCGGGAGGCATGTCGTCGAAAATTGCGATAAAATCATGAAAATAGTGGAAACAGACCGTCACGTGAGCACTTATTTAATTGCTGAGGAACTAAAGATCAGCCAGAAAACCGTTTGGGACCATTTGCATAACCTTGGATTCAAAAAGGAGCTCCAATTTTGGTGCTACACGAACTAACGCAAAAAAACATGATGGTCCGAATTTCCATCTGCGAATCGCTGCTGAAATGCAACATAATCGACCCGTTTCTGAAGCGGATTGTGACTGGCGATGAATGGGTCACTTACGACAACATCGAGCCCAAACGGTCGTGGTCAAAGCTCGAGGAAGCGGCCCAGACGGTGGCCAAGACCGGATTGACGGCCAGGAAGGTTTTGCTGTATGTTTGGTGGGATTGGCATGGAATCATCTACTACGAGCTGCTCCCCTATGGCCAAACGCTCAATTCGGCCTTCTACTGCCAACAACTGGACCGCTTGAGGGCAGCACTTATCCAAAAGAGGCCATCTTTGGATCAACAGAGGCCGAATTGTGTTCCATCAGGACAACGCCAGGTCACACACGTCTTTGGTGATGCATCAGAAGCTCCGGAAGCTCGGATGGGAGGTCCTAATGCACCCACCTTATAGTCTGGACCTGGCACCAAGTGGTTACCGTCTTTTCCTGTCCATGGCGAACGCGCTTAATGGTGAGAAGTTGGCCTCAAGAGAGGCTTGTGAAAATTAGCTCTCCGAGTTTTTTTCCGATAGGGACGCAGCCTTCTACGAGAGGCGTATAATGAAGTTGGCATTTCGTTGGCAACAAGTTTACGAACACAACGGCGCATATTTGACTTAAATCGGAAAAATGTACACAAAATACACCAAATTTTTATTTGACCTAATATTAAGCTAAATTCTTGGCCATGACATTAGATTAAGTGCGTTTGTTTCTGCTTTAAAACCACATGATAATTTCACGGTTTCCAAAAGTTAAAATTCTGGACAGCTCTCTGAAAATATCTACAAATATTTGATAATAAGAGTTGTCTTTATAGTTGCCCCATTCATCCGCCGCTTTGACTCAGTTCAAATGCTTCTTGTGGCGAATAGTATGAAACCACAAAGAGACAAGTAAAATCGACCTAAATGTTGTTAAGGCTTAATCCTTTGTTTAACCAGCATAAAACAGAGCTCTGGCCAAGTAAGGTTATGGTAAAATTTATTGTATTTTGAAATTTGAGACTGAATCTGGTTTCTGAAGAGTAGTTGTTCTGCGCTAAAAAGTATTTATATACATTAAAAGTTAAAGAGATTTCAATGATTTAAACTGTAGTGAGATTTTCTATTAAAACATTGGTCTCTTAACGTACTAAGTTATTCTAAAAGACGCTATTATATTGCTTTACTTAATTTTACAATTGAGATTTGCAACTTTATTTTGTAACCCAATAGATTTTAGCTACTCTTTTGAAACGTGAGAAGAATTAGGCCGCTTGTCTATTTAACGTAAGCAACATAGCGCTACCAACTAAGATTCATTTATAGGTCTATGTGTGTAGCATGACCTCTGCATCAGGACTGTTTGGTTGTGTACATATGTACCTATATCAAAGGTGATAGGCCAATTGTCAGCTGATTTTAAATGTAATGTTTTTTCTCTAAAGTAAAGAGACTAAACAGCAGAAATGCGAGCGTAGTCAGAAAATATTTCTGCTCTAACAGTAATTAAGTGATGAGTTAATTAAATTCATTGGTGAAAAGAAAATTGCAGCACGTTTACCTTACTCTCCGCCCAACAACTCTGAAAAAAGTTTCAGCTAGATATTTTATGTCAACTTGAAAAAAGTTAGGTAGGTTTAATTTATTGCTCTTATTTTTTGGCATAATTATTTTAATTTTAAAAAATTAAAAATTGTTTGAAATCTAGCTGATTCAGTCTGAGCCTGGAATTGTTCTCTAATGAATAAGAAAAAAGTTTACTTTGAAATAATATATTTCTAAAAAAGTTTGCTCGTACAAGAATTATTTTGCAAGACAGCTTAAATTACAATAATTGAGGCAAAAGTTGGTGTTGTTGTGGCAAGCATCGCCACTGCAGCATCTAATTAGTATTGCAATTTACATTATTTTATACGCTCTTCCTTTACAAATTTTCAGCGCGTTTACTTCGCCGTTTAGTTCTTTCTTTTACACTTTTTCTGTATTTTTTTTATTTTTATTTGCAATTTTTTATTTGACCGACACTAAGGGTTTCCGTCATTTTCATTAAACCTAATCATTTTAAATTTTCCACTTCCTACAGCTATTTGGCTCGGCGATCACCTTGCAATTTAGCTCCACTGCTGCCAGGTTTTTGCCAGCATTTGGATGAGCTTACATGAATATATAGTATAAAGATATGCTTCTATCCTTTCTTCTCTTGCTCGACAGCTACTTAAGTCTCGGTAAAATCCAATTTTCTATTCTAAATTATACGCCAGCGCATTTAAGTGTACACTCAGACGTTTAGCCGAACCATGCTTGTGAGCCGCTACCCAGGCGTTTTTGCGGTCTTCACATTTACTATCTTTTCGGACACTTTCTTCTGCATAATTTAAGGCGAAGTGCTACTTGCACAAGAAAAAGAAAAGAAAAGTGGGAAATAAGTAAATAAGCGCATAAATTGAGATGAGTTTTAGGCTCCAATTTTCCACAACTTCTTTTTTTTTGTTTTTGGTTTTCTTCCAGATTTTTTTTGCAGCATAAATATCGCTTATAAGCTGTCTGAACGGTAAGCTAAGCTGTAAATTTTTCCTTAATTTAAAGGGAACAGAAGAGAGAACTTACAAGAAGAAAAAGCAACCCGAGAAAATGCTAAACATTTATTTTAAAATATCGGGTTAAGTGCAGTTATTGTAATGAAAAAAGGGTTGCTCACAATTTTTCTTCATTGTCCCTTTACACATTTCTACAAGCATGCATTTAGCCGCCGTTCAATTTGTTGAGTCTGTATTGTTATACGAAGAAAATGTCTTAATTTCAATTATGTCAGAAAAATTGGTTTACATGATTCAATGAGCAGGGCTTTCATGTTAGATAATTGGAATCAAATACATAAATGCTGCTCGAATATTTAAAGATAGCGATTTTTGTCCTCAGAATATTTACCTTGAAGAAACTTGTTTGTATAGTAAATACGGACGAAATAGTCTGCGGAGAGAATGAAGTAAATTGGATTAGCTACTCATTAAACTCCATTCATCAGCCACAAATTTTAAAATAAGATTTCACGATAAATCCACTGGAGCTTCTACGTAGGTTGCCTTTTATATTTCGAGATTTGGGGAGAGAGATTAGAGTTTACCTTAAAGTTTGACATTTTTGATATCAAAATACTCAGAACGTTTTGGCATATGTGCGCTATTAATGTTGTTTACCGTAACTTAAAATATCCAAAATATATCGTAAAAAAAAAATTAATTTATTCGTAAACATTTTCGCAGGATTATTTTTTACATATTTTGACCTGGATTGATTAAGCAACAGTGCATTGATAAAGTTAATGAAATTTTTGACGATGAAAGTTCATCAAAGACAAGTTTTTATCGATGATATGGGAAATGAAATCTAGGTCGCAGATCATTCCAAGCCGAATGTCGTGACTCTCAAAATCAGTTGTTGTTCCGGAAACTATTGATGCTATTGTGCGCAAACTGATAATGCAAGGTGGTCATGTAAACTATCGTGAGCTTGAGAGAACTATAGGCAGTAAAAGGACTAGCATACATTAATACTGCATTAACAGCAGACTGTAAAAAATTTGTTCATGTTGGATCTCACACAATTTGTCAATCGTTCAAAAAAAAGCTCGTGTCCATTGGTCGAGAGAAATGTAAAAACAATACCATAGCGACTCTTCGTCTATGACATCGTAACCCCGAAAATAAGCAGCAGTCGACTGTATGGATGTTTTAAGATGAGCCGAATCCAACAAAAGTTGTTCGCGCACAAAGCACTGCCAAGCAAATAGTTGCCTGTCTTTTTGAATAACTGCACAGGTCGCAACCATATCACTAGAACAACGCAGAACAGTAAATTCTGAGTGGTACACAACCGTTTGTTTGTCAGTTTTCTGTCAAGAAATCAAGAAAACTTTGACGGATCACCACGATAATGCGAGTTCTCACACAGCGACCAAAGCAATTACACTTTTGAGCACTCGTCACCTGAGGACCGCCTCATGCGTTCCGAACTCATTTTTTAGAAGTACCTCAATCAGAGTGGCAAAGGTGCTTCGACAATTGGTTCAAACGCATTAAGAAGTGCATAGGTCTTAATAAAACATATTTTGAAAAACAATAACGTGGTTTTCAATATACTGGTTATGCTTACTGGTACACAAAGGGATTTAGTATGGAAAAGAGAATAACTATACATACTATATACTTTCCAGTGGTCTCTCTAGCTGTCTCGATTTGTGCAGAAATATATCTTCGGTAAAGAGTTTTAGGTGCTTCCCAATTATATTTTGGATAGCTATTTGAATATCAAACATAATAGTAAATTCCAGACTCAAAAAATTATTTGACAACGTGACTTTCACGTTAATATTTGGCGAATAAAGCGTTTATTTCAGCATAGTAAGCAATACAAAACCAATAATTTAAATTATCTGTTGGCTAAGGTGCATTAATCTTCCTAACAGAATGGATTCCGGATATTAAACATGGGACCTTCATTAACTTACTATGAATTAAAATTATCAATCCGAATAAAATATTAACGAGGAGCTATGGGGTCAAGTTTTATGTATCTAGTAAGCACTAACTAGGCAAAAATATATTCTTTTAAATTATACAGTCGGTATTTTAGCAATTTGTAAATTGACAAACGAGTTGTTCCAAGATTTCTAGAGAAAATAGATCACATATTGAGCCTTCTGAATTTATTACAGATCTTTCGCTATGTTTCATTTCCCGGTATTTCTCATATTTATTTATAAATTTTAATGAGAGCATTACATATATACTATACTTAAATAGACCATACGTTGACTTTTTGGGAATCTCTCTAATTTCACTCACTTTTCATACTAATCAATTCATTCAAAATAATTTCACACATACCTGTTTGCTTCTCCGCCGCTTTCAGCGTATAACCTTCCACCTGCACCGCTTCACTGCGTCCACGCAAATTCACTGCATAAACAAATATGCGAAAGAGACGACCAGAGTCCAGTCCAGTGACGCTTAAAAGTGGATATTTTGATGAGATATTGGCTTGCAATTGGCCACTATGCTGATCGAAAATTTCCAGTAGGAACCATTGTCGCAAACCACCGTCAAAGCCTGCATTTGAATAAAAAATAATAAATATTTCTATAGAAATACTTTATAAGTTAAAGATTTAAGTAGTTGCTGAAACTATATAACCTATATACAGGATTTAGTTAATAATAGAAATATACTAAAAACTATTTCTTACTAGATCGGAACATGATCTTAATGCTACACAACGTATCCGCCTTTCATTTGATATACACTAAGGCTTTTAACATACTAAGCCTACAATAGTTTCAGGTTATTTTTCGATCCAAAGACTTAACGTGGCAATGCAAAAACTCTTTTTGGTTGCCGTTTTACTTTATTTTAACTTTTGCAGCTCCTCAAGAGCTCGAAGTACAACATCTAATGTTGCAAAGGTGTTAGCGATAAGTTGCTTAGGCTGTTGCTAACTCAGACCGAACCGCTTGTATACTAGAATTTATTGATGAGATACAATAACTACTTTGAATTGGAAAATTCTGGTTTACAAGAACATAAAAATGGTCATTATCACAGAGTGGTATTTTATACCTTAAAAACCATATCTAATTCATTAATATCAGTAGAAAAAAAAGCATTAAAAAGAAAGTTCAACAAATTTATGATAGTTGAAATTCCACTGTGTGGCAGAACCTGGCGTAGAAAAAAAATTAAATTTTGTACTTAGGTTTTCGAATCTCTACTTTTAAAATTTTTATGATGAGCATTATATCACATAATAAGCATTGCTACTTGTCATAAAAAACTACGAAACCAATACTGTTAACATATTTTTTTCGAAATATGTTTAAAGGTTATTAATTACAATACAAATAATTTTTGATACCCTTCTGAGCTCATATTTGCTAATATTCTCGGCTTTAGTATACTCCCGCAACATTTTGCAACAGCGAATAATAGTTATGTTGACCTGTCGATTGTTTTTACCATCAAAAACTAATAGAGATGAGTATACTCATATAAGTAGAGTTGAAGAGGAAGACGAGGCAATTTAAATTGCTATAACCAAGCTCGAAAAAGAGATACAAAACTATAATCTGATATAGGCAATCGCAGTTAAAAAAGGCACCTGCGGTTAAAATTAAAAAAAGAAATGGGCGTGGCTTCGCACCTCAATTAGTTTAATGCACATATCTTATAAATCACTGAAACGTTATCAACCAAAATTGCTTAGAATAAGTTTTTTAGCATCTCCTTATACAGTGTGAAAACGGGTGAAGTCGGATCGGGAAAAACGGGTGATCAAACAATAACGGTTTTGTTAAAAATTACTAAAAGTGTGATAACTGAGTAAAGAAACACACAAGACTAAAAATAAAGATTATAAGAAATAGCTGCATAAAATTAGTGAAAAAATTGAACAATGGGTGTGACACAGCCCACTTTTAGGTATAAATTCATACTTCAGTAAGAACAGAACATTGGCGCTGTAATGTCACAGTATGAAGATTTACAAAATCATACTACAACCACGCCTACTTCTGATATAACACAACTTTAAATTCAGTTCTGATTATTTAATTACAAATGTCGTGGACTTGGCTCTCAGCGCCTATAGCTGACTTTTCACCAAAAAAATTGGTTTGTCTGTAAGATATATTACATTATGAAATTCAGAGAGAATATTTCTATAAAAATATGTCAATACTTTCTTTAGTCTCCATATACCTACTATAAGGATTTTCAAACTTCCGGTTGACGTTCTACCATATACATATATCATTCAATACATATTTCACATTATCTTAGCGAAGCCAAGTAAGCGTATAATATTGGTTTTACTTTAGTACCAAAAATGGGTTAGACTGCGTATAAATAAATGTATTGTCAATATCAGAAAAATATCCCTCCTTTTGAGGCTCACAAATTGCGGGTTTGTCCGGTTACATCCGAACTAGACGCTTTCTTACTTGTTTAAATTTAATTTTCGAACACTCTCTTTTTGTTATATTGAATTTGTGAGTTTTTTGAAACGCGCTCTTTGAAATGTCGCATTTATCAGTTTGTTAAGTGCCGCGCGACTTGCAAAAAGCTGAAAGAATACCTTAAAAATTCTGATTTACTACAGTGCAATGTGAAACTTGAATCAAATAGATTTGATTTGCAAGCGTAAAAGTTGAATGCAAAGCAAATAAATAAATAAATTCATGAACATTTTTGTAAGTATTTATATGTGGATTTGTTAGCAACTTCGAATGTATTTCCACTGCCATACATATCTATACTCGTATATATACAAGTATTAAAATGCGATATCGAATATCAAGCTGGCAATGCTAGGAACTGAAAATCAAAGAAAGAAACAACAAGTTAGAATATCAAAGCCCAAATAAAACAAGTAAGGCAGCACTTAGTTCGGGTGTAATCGAACATTTTATACTCTCGCAACCTGCAAGGATCAAAGCCGGGGAAATCTGTTCGGTGTTGACAAAACTTTATATTAAGAAATATAGCGAAATGTATTAATTGTGGGAGATATCACAAAGCCTATGTTTTTTATTATAAAGTCAAGTGGAAGTTCGAAAACCTTTGAATTAGGTTTCTGGGCGCTAAGGGCCCATTTTTGACACAACAATATATTTTTATCAAAAAATATTTTTCGCGAATTTTAATTATATATCTCACATATTGACGAATTTTTCGGCAATAGCAATAGGGCCTGGGGTCCATATTTTCGGTATTTGGAGGCTTGAAAAGTTATGGTCCGATTTTGACAATTTTTATACCTTAAGGAAATATTAGTGCAAATTTTTATCCCGATATATTAATTAGAGCTTGATTTGTATACTAGAATGTAAAAAAATGTAAACAAATCGGATGGAATTTAAAGTTGTGTTATATGGGAAGTAGGGGTAGTTAGTGTCCGATTTTAACCATTTGCTCACTGTTAAATGGGAATGTCAAAATAATCTTATATACTAAATTTGACACCTGACCCTATAAAGCCCTTTTGTTTCATCTCGGATGTAAAATTTACTGTTTCTAACAGTTTGTTATTGATTTTTCGCAGTTTTAGTAGTCTTTAACAAAGCCGTTATGAAAAGAGTGGGCATGGTTATCACCCGATTTCACCTATTTTCATGCTGTCGCAAAAGATGCCGAAATGATATGTCCTTTGGAAATTTGGGTCCGCTTGCACGGACGGACAGACAATCACTCCGATTTTAACTCGTCTCACCATCCGGATCATTTATATATATGTATCTATATAGCCTTATATTTATCTCGATTAGATTTAAGTGATACAAATAATCGTTAGGTGAACAAAACTATTTTCCTCTGTTGCAACATATTACAAGAGTATAACAACTCAACAATAAGACAATCAGCAGCAACAGAACTTTGTTCCAACTAACAACAAAAGTTCTGCTATGCACATACATACATTTGTACATACGAATATAAATAGAAAATTCAAGCAGCCAAGACAAGTCAAGTAGTTGAAGCAAACTTTTTCGACTTGTTGGCCTTATTAACCCCAAAACTCGACACTAAATCGAACAACCAAGACAGCAAACTACAAACAAACACCTTCATCTCACAACAGACTGACAGCTTAAATGCCAACTACACGTACAAGGGTACAGCAAGGTACACCCGATGTCCTCACCGGAACGGTAGCTACATATAACATATAAATATTCGCCCACTGGTTGGACTGACTGGTTGTATGGTTGGTGGGTTACTTGCCTCATGCTTGGCAGCATTTTATAGGTATACTCGTATACAAAATCATTGACAGCTACAATAACTACAACAGTAAGAAAGCGAAAAGGGCCCACAGTAAGCGGCGTGCCGAAAATGGAAAAGATTGAGAGTTCATATATGCACATATGCGTATGAGTATGTATGTAAATTCGTATGCTTGGCGGTGCAGCTAACTCATACATACATACATATCTTACATGCATGCGCACATTTGCGTAACATATTTGCAAGCGTATGAACTGTTCGGCAATGTGACGTGAGTGCCGCCCCCTTTTTACATTTCGTACGTTTGCTGCTGCACCAACTGAGTCTCATTTAAAAAACATGAGCAACTTGAGTGCACTCTTGCATTATGTATGCGACACTCACTCACTGCGCCGCTCACATGTGAATCCATTTTCGTAAAGCCACAAATATATATATATATAATATGTGTAAATACACAGTTTTTAGATATATTACATATTTTATGTTTTATATAATTGTTTTTATCGATATTCATCTATACTTCGGTGACCTTATTTGTCCCGGCAAAATCCGGGAGGGTGTTTTTAGTAATCAATTTTTTTCATATTATAATACACTGAAAATCGCGACATTTAATAAGTGAGAGAGCAACACAATTTTATTCAATTCATTCTTTTTTTTTTGTTAATTTCTAAGCCCGGGACGCTGATCTCGGAATACGGACTGTCCCGGCTAAACCGGGACGAATGGTCAGCTAAATCTATACATATATGCATATGTATGTATATAAGTATTTACTTACTATGTAAAGCCTACAAGGTATCACTTTTAAATTGACAACAATTCCTGAAAACATTAAAAAGCTGCTTAAATTGTTTATATATGTGACTAATTGCCTAATTGGAGTAGTAGCCCGAGGAATATTCGGTACACATTTTGTGATTTTGAATACCACACGATATATGGTCTAATGAAACAGCGTTTGAATATTTTTCTATCCGTCAGTCTGTATGCACATGAACTATTGCCTCCCGATCACCGATATCGGGTTCTCACGTCTTATTGTAAACGACAATGCTATATGCTCAAAACATATTGTTTAGATCAAACACTTATTGCATATACCTGCCATACACTGATCAAAATCTAGATCTTGTATGAAAAACTTTTTTATTTGATGAATTGTGGCACACATTATTGTCCAAAACAACGCTATAACCTCCGCAGAAATTGTTATGATCGAATCACTATATATATATATAGCTGTCATACAAACTGACCGATTATAATCAAGTTCTTATATCGAAATATTTTTTTTGGTAAGATATTTTCACAATATTTGGCATAGATTATTATCTAAGACAACGCTTTAATCTCAAAATAAATTGTTCAGATCGAATCACTATATGGTTGCCATAAAAACTGAGCGTTCAGAATCAAGATACAAATATTCATAAAATATTTATTTTCCCTATTATGTATACCTAATTAATTTAATATAAAAAATCCTAAACAACTTCACTCAACTCATTGGAAAGGTTATTCGTAGCAAGTGTCCAGTTTATTCGAATTTATTTACTTTTTAGTTTCTTTGAACAAAACTTTTCTTGACTTGACTTATTCAGTTACACTCTAACTCATAATGCGGTTTTATTAGTTAGTAGCCTTTTAATTGAATGAAAATATATAACACGCGAATAAAAGCATAAAAGAAGAGCATACGGATGGAGAGTGGGTAAGAAAAGAAACAAATGAAACCAACAAAAAGTCTTAAATAACTTTGATGGGCGAGAGAAGTGGCCACTTTAGTTAATCAATCCACAGTTTTAACTTGCAGAAACTTTAACTTGATTCGCATTCTACTTTTGCTTCGTCGCTTTCTTTCGTATTATTTTCTTTTCTTCAGCCATGAGCTAATAAGCCAAGTTTTTACAATGCGTTTCTTTCTTGTCCTACCGCACAAATGGGGTAAAGTTAATGTTATGTGAGCTTTGTTTGGTGTCTGCCAAGGATTAGTTAAAGAGTCAGTGTAGCGGGAAGACGAATAAATTGAAAATGTTGCACTATTTTGCACTGAATATTGAAAGATTTAAGCTAACCTGCTTTATTCATATACTTACCTTCTTTATCTTAGCACGAGAGAAATTTGATCATGTTCTACGATCTTATATATATTGTAATATACTTGTACATACAAATAAATAGCTTATCAAATCACCCTCAACTTAAAGACAAGTCTCTGTGCTATAAAGCATACAGTTTATGTGGTTTATATGCTGTCATAATATTTATAGCTCATCTTTCCTTGGGAAAACCTTCTTGCCTCAAGTACATGTGGTGCTTAGATCTTGCCCCCCAAAGATAAATACACGCTGTTGGTTAGGCAGTTAAAACTATTTTTTTTTATGTTGATCAGCAATCCTGGTACGTAAATTAAACTAAAATCAGACAACTCTACTCACCTTCCATACAATAGACCTCCAATGAGTCCGATGTCTGATTGAATATAGTGCAATTCGCTGGCATTTCTGGCTTACCAGCGGCAATTAAATGAAAGACGCAAGGCTCATGTTGCTGACCGACATTGTTATCTGCCCAACACATGATGGTGCCGAAATCCATTTCCTATAAGAGAAAATTATTTATTTAAATCGGGCAGTAGTAATAAATGCTGACATAGCCAAACTAATCGAATGTGGTGAGAAATTATTTAAGTATAAAATTAAATTAAGTAAATCTTGTTTATGTATTTAACACTTCAATGCATTCTTGAAATTGTAGAAATATTGCATTCACAATTTCTTGAACTATCTAATGCATATTTTTACCTGTCGGCCATTATACCTAGCTACAAGGAAAACTTCACTTTCTACTGACATTTTTCCAACAAAGTTAACTTCTCGTTAACGAAGCTTTGCCGTTGATTCAATTTAACAGATGCTCGTAAAATAGAAAATTTACAAACAGAAAATTTATTTCGCTTATTTTCTAAGTGATATATACATACATTATATCTACACCCTCGTAATTTTGTAGTTATCAACAGACGCATGCCACATACATACACCCCAAAGGAAGGTGCACATATACAATTGTACATACTTGTAAATACAAACATACACAAATATGTATTGTACAATATGACATAGGTACTCGAAATAGTGTTCTCTGATTTAATATTATAAACTCAATGAAAGACATTTATTTGTCCTGAATCATACGCATTGTGGCACACACGCCACTTACATATGTATATAGCATATATTATATGTATGCATACAAGTAATGTAGGTATATTGTAGCTGGAATACAGCAAACCTCACTTGGTTGCTCTCATTTGTATGCTCAGTAGAAAAAAACTTTTTGTTTTACGCACGAGTGTGCGGTATATATTATTACTTGGAGAAATATATGATTAGGAAAAAGTAGAAAGTTTGATAATCTGCAGTAGAAATGTAGAACGTGTGGCTGAAAACTACGTTGAATATTATTCTTCTGAAAGAATTAACACTTCGTGTCGAACCGAGAGATGTATATATGTAATGGTACTGATCAATCTCTAAGCCGTTATCTCAATAATAAGCCCATTGGTGGGAGAACACCAAAAACCATTAGTATACAGAGAAACTGCTTTATAATTATATATTCTCGATTGACTTCGAAACTTAGAAAATTCAAAAATTTGTACGTATCAGTGAACAAATTGTTGTTCTTTAAAAATATTAGCAACCTCTCCGCTAAGTTTCATATAGTTCAAAAGTTGCCGCTGGAATAAAATAAACTATTGTCGGATATTAGTATGAAGATAGAAGCAACGTAGAGAGACTAAAATAACATAAATATGTACAAAGAGCAATCAATTCTAGCAAATGATAATCGTGAAAGTAAAAAAGGAAGTGAAGAAAAAATGGAGACTGAAGAAGATACGATAAACATAAAGCTCTCGAAAAAGAGAAGAATAAAATTTAGGTTATTTATTCAAATTTAGAGTAGTATGGCTGGTTTGAATTCTATAATTTTCTAGTTCTGATTAATGCATAACTCTGAAACAAAGCGTAAGGTGAAACTATATTTCCTATTAAAGCTCTTATCTCTCTTTGTAAGTACTATAGAATTTAAGGGGTATACCAAAATGCAGAGCCAATTCCAACGACAAAGGTCGCCATATTGTCATTGGACATTGAACCGACTGATTCGGATTGATCTCAACACTGGCCTGAACGGCAGCGCTATTTTCTGCATTATGGACTTTTCTTTGACGTTAAGGTGACACACTATCGTGGAGATTATAATCATATTTCGAATTTTGCAAATATGCGTTGAATTGCGCGCTCAGAGGGAGCATTATGACGAACGTGTTTTGAGCAAAGAGCTCTTACAGTAAAACAATAAAGTGAACACTTGATACGTGACAAAATTTGACACAAATCCGTAAACAAGCACGGCTGCCACGAGCTGTCAAAATCACGTCATCGCTATTGGTAGACGCTATTGGTAGACGCTGTATCTTCTAACATTATTGTCCTAACCAAATGGAGGGATAAAATCTAATAGAAAACAAACAGACAAAAAAAATTACAAATTTTGCCACCACCAGCAATTTTTGAAAATCTTTCTTTACCAAATTCTGTTCCATCAAACTGAGTGTGGCTTATCACTCACTTTTACATAGAGCCAATCATAGACACATGTATGTATGTAAATGGTGTCATGTTGCTGAGCGAATATGAGCCAACTAACTGCCCGACGGCAACACTTAAATGACAAATGCTAGAAATAATAAACAAACTAAATACTAGCAACAACAACAAACCACTTTATGTATCAGTTAAGATATGTTTGTTTAAGAAAGTAACAGATGTCTAGAATAGTTCTGTCGCTTTTACACAACAGTGTTGATATTCAGCTGACTTTTGTGACACTTTTCAAAATCTTTTAGAGCGTTAGTTAAGAGGGTGTAAAGAGCGTTTTGTTGGCACGTATAAATCTGTATAGTCTGAATGCTATTACTTCTGTTTGACATTTTTCAGACTCTACCCAACTACTCTGTGTTTTTTTTTTTTTTTTGTAAATTTAATTGAATCAATATATGACTTTAGAAAAACACATATAAGCTATTAACTTTTGAACTTTTAAATTTATTTTGGAGGATATTCAAATAAACTTCACCCATTCTTTGTAATTATTCAAATAGACGACTTTATAAATTTATAAAGTAAACGCCTTGAAACTTTCAATTGAAATGATCTCAAGCTACCTAATTCGCTGGTTTTATCACGTATCTCGTTTTAATCTGTGTCATCTAATTTTATTTCAGAAAAATTTCTACACCACAAACATGTTTTAACAATACGATTTATGATATCTCTATGCCATTTTTAATGAAAACACAAGTTCTAATCACTAAAATCTAAAGAAAAAACTCTTCAAATCCGAACCTAAAATGTTGATATATTTATGATTAATCGTTTAATTGTCTGGTTTGATAGTTTTGGATTCGATTTCTAGTTGTAGAGGTTGGTTCAGAGAGGAGACGATAGAGTGAGGGAACATTAGTCCCGGTGATATCACAATGAGCCTCCTATAGGCCTAGGTGCGTCGTTAGACAGCCACTCTACCTACCTACCTAAAGTATTCAAAAAGAGGTATGAGCACTCTTTTAGAAATAATTATCACTTCATAAAGATAAACTGTAAAAATTTAATATTACATAACTAGGGAATGCTATACATTAACTATATAAATACAACATTAACTATATAAATACTTTTAGTACCTTTATGAGCTAACATATTCTTAAACTGATGTAAATTTGCTTTAATAACAATAACAAATGTTATGTTATGACCATTATCAAACATTTTGTATTTGATGTAGAAACTCGAACAAACGAATTCAAGTTATTGTAAATATACATCAACGCTGAGACACTCCATGCCGCCATGTACGCCTGAAGAAGACACTCGTATTATATTCTCTTTCACACATACATGCATAAAATTTTGGCATATAAGTGTTTGTGTGAAGTGTTTCATTTGAAAATATTATATTCGCATAAACAAACGGAAACCGGAAGCGGCAAATTTGCCATCGAAACGGAAAGAAAGTTTCCAATTTATATCACATTCAGTGGCATGTGAGCCTTTTAGGGTGAATAATTTATAATTTTTTGCCAAACAAGAAGAAGAAATGTTAAAAGATGAAGAAAATGATACTTGGTTTAGCTTTTAGCTCTTGAGTATATGAAATATTAATGGAGAAGAGCTAAACAAACGTATCTGAGTAACTGACAACAGACGGTACGAAATTTAAATTTTTGGAAAGTAGTGCGGGTGAAATAACTATGCCAATTTTATTCATAAGAAGCCAAAAAGCGCATCTAATTCGAAAAAACGTATATAAATTGTTTCCAAGAACTGGGTTGTCGCTTTTTAATTGACAAAAGAAATAATAAAGAGGAACGAAAACTCTCATATTTATTCAAATAGTGTTTTGATATGTGATTAGTTACGATCAGGCAGGTATTGTTTATCCGACAAAAGCTTCGCCTTATTATGAGTAACCAAAGGTGACAATTCGACAAGAGCTTAGTCGTTAGGATACGATGTCTTTTGCGGAGCACTTGACTGTTTTGACATTATGACTAAAAATTTTATCAGACGTCGATTGGCAAAGTTATCTGGAAGAAAACGAGGTAGAATTACTCTACCTCAAAAGATTTGTGAGAGGAGCGACGTGTTTTTTAAATAAATTTTTAGAAATACTTTTGTTAGCAGAGCAGATTTAGCCATATCTGTCTTTCTGACTGTCTATGCGTCTGTATAGCGCGAAAAAGTCTTTCAGTTTTTGAGATGTCGGCACCGCCTTTTCTCACCAAGAAGCAGCTCATTTGTCGGAAGCGAAAATGATGAAAAGGTTTTTACTTACAAGATACCTTCACACAATTTGGCATACATTATTGTCCAAGGTAAAGCTACAATCCTCGAACATATTGTTCAGATCGGATCAATATAGCTTATAGCTGCCCTACAAATTGACCGATCAAAATCAAGATAAAAATCTTTTTATACTCTTTACGTTTTTCCTTGTTATGGTACCATATTGTTCTATTAGATGGCTGCTACAATGGGAGATAAGCTACTATAACCTTAGTCATAGAAAAGTAGTATAAGCGAGAAGTTAGTGCTGAAATTACTCACATTAACCTTGAAACTAACTCTGCAAAATACCAGGCTTAACCAGCAGACCATGTTTGTATTCATTTGTAGACCTAATGCTTCCACTTATGGCGACAATATGATATACTTGTACTATTTAAAATATATCAACAGAGAAGTACACATTCTGTTCTAAACTTTTCACCAGCGGTGCTAAAATACTTACAATAAAACCACGTCAATACATATGTATATACTTGTATATTGCTTAGAAAACTCACATACACTTCGAAATAAAAGTAGGCTTAAGTGTGTCACCCATTTGTATAAGGTATACCGCGATAAGTAAATATGCGTTTGTTGATAAATTTACATTATTATATATGAAGTTATGTCTACTTGTAGCTGAATATATGAGTGAATTACGGTAAACATAAGCTGCAGATGCATAAGTTATAACCCATGCGCTACTTAAGTCCTTATGTAAATATGTGTGTGTATGCACTCACCTTGACCGGCGTGTAGGTCAATGTCGAACCTTGCGCTGAATGTGCACGGAAACCACTTTGCGGCATATCAAACGTCTCTGCTGTATTATTGAAGGACCATTTGAAGTTTTCCGGCGGTGGAAATGCATCAACCTCACATAAAATCTCGGCGGCCTCATTACGCGCCACACCATAAATCTTCTTCTGATCCGGTCGGCAAATGGGTTTGTCTGTAGAAAATATAAGAAATGAACAACAATAATGTGAAAAGATGCCTTTTTTTTGTATCGTAACATATGAAAAGAGTAGGGTATATAGCAGCCAACACCTAGTTACCGTTAAATATAATCCCAGTATTATGAAAGTTACTTTAATGCTTGCGGGAAGCAGTAGTTTGAACTAAATAAATATCAGTGAGGACTATATGTCAGCACAAAAAGGATGCTCTACAAATAACGAAACAGAATTGCAATAAAAATGCGCTGCAAAAATCTTAACAATTGCAAAATATTTTCTCGCACTACAACACGCGCACTGCATACTTTCCTACAAAGTGAGTCAAGAAAGGCTTTCGCATTTTTATTTTACATTATTCAAGCGTAGTTTTTTTTTATTTACCTCAAACTGCAGTTTTACAATTTAATTCTTTATGCTGGCATTTCTTTATTTATATTTCTCCATTTTGTTCGCAGAAATGGGGGCACTTTTAACGTTGGTATTTGTGTCTACATAAAACAGCAATCGCCTGCAGCCATATTTTTTGCATTGTTTACACAAAACATAGCAATGTGAAGCAAATATACGTTGGTAAAAGTGTTTGTATGTATGTACACCCACGTGCCCACCAACTAACTGGGACTCATAAATTGTAGCTTAGCTTTGGGTAAAATTTTTCATAGCATACTTTTGTGCTGCCAAATGCCTGAAGAAAGTGTGTATTTTTATAAGATAGCAGGCGTTAAATGCACAGTTGTCGGTCTTTAGAAATAGCGAACGTCATTTGATACTATGATCAGCCACCTAAAGTTTAGTTATATAGTATGCACGAGATTTCAGTTAAGTTTATGCAACAATTTTGAAATATGTCCTATTTTTTCCAAATTGTTTCCAAATGATATCTGAGTATAGAGCGAATTTTAAATTATGTTTTGGATAATCGTTTGTCACAAGATGGGAGCTTTTGAGCTTCAACAAATTATTTTTGTTAGTCCTCTATCTTTTTCAAATTTCCTTATTCAGACATTTTTTCTTAGTGCACAAATATATATTGCTTCATTGGTTTATATGGCAATTAAAATGTAACTCTGAGCTGATAATATTTTGCTTGCCGCTCTCAACTGTTTTGATATGGTTTTGGCTTTTGAGCTTGTGTGCTTTAAAGCTTTCTTTAAGAATTTATTATGAAACCATATAATGATTGTAATGCTTAATTGAAATGCCTGTCTTTCTAAACACTTAGTTCTATTTAGTGCCTCATATGTTGGCGGTTTTAATAAACTACGTTCTTAATATTCCAAGCGCATTATGAAAATGCCTGTCATAAAAGCTTTATTAAAGAAGCTTCATTTCCGCTTTAACGTCGAGATCTCAATAACTAACTGTTTTAAAAAAATATATATAATTTTTTATATTTTCAATGTTATTTATTTAGAAATATGTTTACAAGAGGATTTTGGAAAATTTAAATTATTTTTGGAGATATAGGCTTTAGATTTTACTGACCCGGCCTCCAAACTGGTTCGGCTGGGTCTAATTGAGCAAAATACTTTACGCGAAACTTCAAATGCGTTTTTCTCAGATCAGACTTTTCCAAAACGATATCCACGATTTCTTGAGTTCTACTGAACTGATTTACTTGAAATTTCAGATAAACTTCCTTATGGACCTCTCGCTAGTATGAAGTAGTTCCATTACCAAATTTAAATTTTGACTATTGTTAAAAAATACGAAAAAATTAAAAAATGGTAAAAAAATTGGTTTTTTTTTCAAACAGTCGCCATTTTGTCAAAAATTTGTTTTTAGTTATCGCTAGTTCATACAATTGCGACATCATTGCAGATATAATAGTTTTTTTTTTTCATTTCAGATGACTAGGTGGGTTAAATTCCTGGGTATGCGCATGTGCCAATTTTTTGAGACCCCTACTTCATCAGCTGCCAGTTTTTAAATTTTCACTGTATTTTTTAAATTTTTTTCTGTATTCTTGTAACATTAACAAATAACTGATAAAAAAAATCGGTAGTAAAAATATTGTTTGCCTGTTTTTTACGACACTTTAAAAAGTACCTAAAATTTATGTCTTTAGACTAGAATACCCCCTTAACATAGAAAATTTTTTATTTTTGAATTTCTCAATAAAATTCCACCATTATTAGATTAACATTGTAAAAAAAGTACAAACATTTTTAATATCAAAATTCCTCACATTAAAAGTTCCAATCCATTTAAAGTATAGCTTTCGTACATATAAAATCTAATAACAGAGTGATTTGCTAAAGTTTCAATAATAAACTATTAGAGTGCTTATAAAAATAGTTATTATTTTCGGTTTCCTATTTCTATGTTGCACAGTGGCGACTACAATTTTTAAAGTTTCAAGTAGGGTTGCTACACAATTGAGTTTATGGCGCATCATTAAAGTAAATTGCAAGCGTTGGATATCCTTTCTCCTTCCCACACTCTGCATTTATATGTACAAGTATATGCGCCTTTTCGACCAATAAATAATGCAACAAAATTTCGAGGAAGCGGTAGAGAAAAGGGCGGCAAATATACAAAAAAGTACATCTAAAAGGGATAAAGTAATAACAAAAACAAGTTTACTAACAACTAGGTATTGCTAGAATAAAGCTTTCTACTTCAGAGAGATTATACTATGCTGTAAAACCATAACATGAGGTTATCGCACCGACCAGCGAAACTAGGAGTTAAAGTTTACGGGCAAAAGTAGCCGGACCATCAAAGTGAGTTATGTTGGCACTAGAGTGTGCATACTAGAAAACATAAACGAACAAATATATTGAGTGGTAATAGAAAAGCCGTTGGAATAAGAACAACACATTTACACAGCTTAATATTGACTTTTGAAGCTTTTAATTTTTATTTTGCAATAACATAGTTGCTCATATTTACAGTCAAGTTTTGTGCAGCAAAGTTAAATTTTTTCTATTCTATGAACCAAATCAGTAGATGTGAGGGTGTGGGAAGGAAAAATTGAAAATGCATCTCTTAAGTATAAAGTATTGTTACAATACACGCTCAGCCATCTTCGGAATGAGTTGATTAAAGGTTTTTAACACACAATCACACACATATTGTGTCTGACGGCACCCAACGCCACATCTTTCACTCAGTAATAGTAACACAGAGAATTAGAGTCGAAAAGTTTAAATTTATAAGTTTATTTACTCAGCTACTTTGAACGTGTCCAAAAACTTTGTTTTTGCCCACAAGTGAAGCATAAAGGGTAAGAAACTGTGAGAAAAGCATACTTAAACTTTTAATGTTTTTTTTTTGCTCGGTCAAAAGGCGTACAACCGACGATAGCTAATATATACGATTTATGCAGACAAGTTCACATGTACAAATCCGTGTGCTGTTGCTTTTTGTGTCGTTGGGTCAGTCATCTAACATTTAGAAACAGCTTTGGAGTTATAAAAAGTTTACATGGCAAAAATGTTGCAGCTTTTTAGACGCTTTTTGGCAGCTGCTTGCTTCTTGTTAAGCTGGAAATCAAATTTTATTAAATGTTTTCATGGAAAATTCTCAAAGGAATCAGTTTTAGTGCAACAATGACTTTGAGAGAAAGAAATCATGTATTCATTAAGTAATAAGCAAATTATATATTCTGTTATAAAAGGGCGGTATATAAATGTGATTAATAATTAAAGATAGTAACGAAAATTCGGTTGAAACTGTGTAAGTACCTTATAGGATTAGGATTGCTCTAGCAGAAGTAGACTTCCTCACAACAAAGACTGGATTGGGAGGACAGAACAAGCATAGAAACAAGAAAATACTTTAAATTCGATCGCAGCAAGATAAAATAGCCTCCACAAGTAATTTTGTATATCATCAATGGGTCTAAAAAATCTTTATCTTGGTTTTGATTGGTCATTTTATGATACAGTGGTCCGATCTTGAAAATATCTTCAAATATTGTAGCATTGATTTAGAAAATAGTTTTTGCCAAATATCTTGTAGATATCTTATCAAATTACACCCTGTTCAGGTTATACAAATTTAATTAGAGTGATGTGAATAAAGAGGAATCTATTATCGAATAATTTTTGTAACCTCTTGACAACAAAGCTCTTAGAAACTAGCCACTTGTCATCAGGATCGTACAAATATTGTAATTATACAGCATACATTGTAAGCCGCCATACTTTAAAAATAATTCGCCGACAAATTTCGCTTAGTTACGAGCTTAAATATTTTTTAGAATTATTCTAATTACACTCTCATGAAAAATTTGATATTTTGAATAAGCACAAAGAAACATGAAATGAGAATGAAAAAAACACTTTCTCCAGTTTCTCTACACAAATATCTTTTATACGAAACTACCAATCATGCCACCTTATCTAATACTGAATGTAGTTCTATAATATAAATTTTTGCAGGAGTCTGCTCAGTTTTACTAAAATGGCAAAATTGGATTTACAATAATATTACTTTTTTTTTGCTACAACCAAGTTGTACGGAACTACAACATGACTTTTATCTTTAACGATAACTAAAAGCTGCGAGCTTCAAGCCAGCATGATATATGGGTAAAATATTTACCTAATTTTTACGAAAACTTTAAATAGTTACTCTAGCTTAAATCGACTTAAGCTATCTTAAAATTTGTCCAGTAACAAATAAAAATAAATAGCAACAATAATTTCACAGGCGGCTAGCACACAGGTATTTTTAAACAAGTAGAAGAAATCGCCTGCTTAAATTTCTCCTTTAGCAATTACTTATACGTTCCACGCTGCTATTGTCTCCGCCGTTCCCCGCTCTTGAAACAGGAGTTTCGCTTCATTCCGCATTGCTCAACAATATTTTTCGCTTAGCGCTTTCGGCATTCTTTGCCTTTGGCAAAACTTTAAAAGTAGGAATCTGGGTTTCTAGGCAAACTATGTGCACTATTTGAAGTCCCAAACCGAAGTAGAGCAAGAAAATGCGCATGAGTGTTTGTTTTGCTTTGTGTCAAAGGAAATATGCTTTTCTCTTCGCTTTTTGCTTGCTGTAACAAAACAAAAAGTGGAAGCACATGTATAGCTCCATGTTAGTATGTGTAGGTGTATGCAGTACATAAAATAGTTTTTGTAATCAGCAGGCAAGCATAATAGTTTCAATTCATTATGATTCTATGACATTTAACTCTATTACTACGATTAATTAGTAATCTACTAACAATATATTAGATCTCATACACAATTCATATAAGTATTTAATGGAGTGTTCTCCAAATAAATAACATAATTTTTTTACATGTTCACATTATATTAAATGTATATTTTTATCCATTGAATTTGTATATCCGTGACGTTTACTTACACATCACTTTCAGCTCAACAATATTGCTATCACCATCGCCCTCAACATTCGAAGCGGTGCAGGTGTAGTTGCCCGCTTGATGACGAGTCACACCTTGCAACGCCAAATCGCCACTACTCACAATGACGCCAGCGCGTTGATTGTGTTGAATGATTTGATTCTGAAAAGGATTTCAAGAAAATACTCAGTTAGTGAGAAACATATATGTATATGACTTAGGAGAGATAGAATTAAATTAGTTTATAGCAGGTTAATAATTTATAAGCTGATTTCTTACTATAAGCATTCGCCTGGATTTAATTTTAATATTATATATATTATATTATTACCAAGAATATACAAAACGTATGCTAAAGCATAATCTTACTCCTCTCCTATTAATATTTATCGAGCACGTATCTCCCAAGGCAAGCTAATTTTAGTATTTTTTTATTATGAAAATTGCTAAGTTTGGCAATAATTGCAGTCTTTATGTAAATACGCATATAGTATACCAATATAAAGATACACCCTGCAGGAAATGTTTAAGAAAATGGCATTAGTACTAGGCACAGTACAGGTAAATTTCGAAAAATGAGCACTAATACCTACGAAAAAAATTATCTTATCACGGCTTATCTTACTGCCACCTAATTTTTGCGATAGAATAACCTTATAAATGATTTGGTAAAGAAACAGGTTTATATTGCTATCTTCGATTCATTTTATTGTAGCTAGAGGCAGTGACGATAGAGTTATTTTTTTGTCGTTTCTGTTCTACCGCGAGTTTATTTGATCACTATATCCTCAATATAAATCTCATCGAGTTACTTTGGAGTGTGGACAGACCAAAAATCTTCTACTCCTAGGCATAAGGGGACTTAGTAATATTGAAGAGATGATTACAGAGCACCAACCCTTGATTGAGCGGAATGGCGCAGAGAATGATGAGACAGCCTTCAGCCGAATGGGACAGACAGTTCCACCTAACCCATATGTGGAAACTATTCCTTAAAAAGAACGCCTAACTGGCGAACATTTTACATTTCGGGCCATGTAAGCCTCTCTAGTTTTGATTCGAAATTGAAAAAATAACTTTTTGGATCGCCACTCTCTTCTTCCTCTAATATTGTTATATTAAGTTTATTATAAACGAATAAGCCCATCTTACTCTTGACCAAAATAATCATCATTCATCATGTATTTATCTGGTTTAAGGGCAATCATTGTGTCCGGCAACTATACATTAGCTTGCGAGTTGTGAACCCCAGGAATTTTTCTGACGCACTTTCCAAGTTTAACTGAATTGCAGCCCTCGCAGCGAAATTTTAATATGTTATATAACATGCATATCTCAGTTGAAGCAATTGATAAACTTTTTCGCACATTTTTCAAACTTTTTTTCCAATAAAGAAGTGCTGCTGTCGCATTTTTGGCTTTAATTTATCCAACGCCCAGTATTAAACGTCACTAATTTTTCTGCTGGGTATTTTTACACATATACATATACATGTATGTTATGTAATGCTTAGCAAGCTACATTTGTGCTTACAATACAGCATTCTAAACAATTGAAACGCTTATCCACCAAATAGTTGACGCGCTATTATTTGTATTTATCACATATGTCACACGTGCCACATGTCGCTAAAGCATACGAATGTGTGTACATAGCTTAAGCAAACAATATATTGCTCCTCAGCTACGTTCGCTCATGCAATTCATTTTTAATAAATATATATAGATATATATATATATGCGCGCCAAATGCCAACATTATGTTGTGCAATGCAAAAGCTGTAATAATCTCACTTCGTTGCGTGCTTTCAGGCGTTCAGGCGCTTCTAAGCTGCTATTTATTTGATATGCTTTGTTTCTTTTGTTCACTTACACTCTTTTGTAGACAGAGCGTTTGTTTGCGTATTTCACTTTTCATTTCTACGCTATTCACTATTCTATTGGCTATTCGCTATGTGCCATTTGTCATTTGCGATTGTGTTATTATAGTTCTTTATGGTGTTTGCATTTATGTGCTTGTATTGTATATGAGAGTGTGAATGCATGCGTGCTCATCATTTCATAAACTATGTCAAAGTCATGCATTGTCACCGCTAATAAAGTTCAATTCTATAGCGTGCATTTATTGTTATTTGCTTGCTTGCTTATTTGCCTATGTTAGTATTACTCAGTTTGAGCTGAGTTTCACATTTTATGTTTTAATAGCTTTTGTACTTGTTGCAGGAAACGTACGTTAGAATAAAAACATATTTTATTTAATATTTAAAATAATACAATTGCAATAGTTCAGATTTTCCAATATAAAGGTTGACATGTTAACAGCACATAAAAATAAATTATATTAAAGTAGGGCAACTCACTCCTTAGCCGGGCATATTTTTAAGTTTATTGTTAAAATTTCTAATAAGCTTTTCTTCTTGTGAGGCAGTAACGAACCTTCAAATATATTTTTGCTTTGAAAATACTTCATATAGAATCCATTAGCAAGTTTAAAGCGATCAAATCAATCATCAAAACAATAAGCGATTTTGAGATCCGCTGCTATCTCACTGCTGAGAACACGACGAGTTTCAAGCACTGTTATCGTCATTGACTCGATGTTATCGTCATTGACAGAGTTGGGACGACTGGCATGAACCAAGTTTTCGGTGACTTCACGACCTTCACGGAGTGCTTTGTGCTCCTCATGTACTTGCGTTCGTGATAAAGTAGACTATCTAAAACACTTCGGCAACAATCTCAGCGATTAAGTGGTCGTGATTTCTTTGGAAATACAAAATGAGTAGCAAACTCATTGTTCAATTTTTATTTTGATGATAAAAATTGCTCGACAAAATTTTGACAAAAATTTTTTTTTAACAATTTCGTTTGTGCGCATAGTTTATATAGACCCGGTGATATATAGATCCTGTAGTTTTTTCTTCTTGTCAGGTCGGTTGAAATTTTATTACAATAAAAAAATGATAGATATGTTTGAACCAATATACAAGTAAATTTTTATCCTGGTGGTTAAGCGTTAATTTTGGTAAAAAAGAAAACAGAAGGATACTGGAACGAAAAGCGTAAGAACTTGAGCCAGAAAATTGGCAACAGGGGGCAGCATAAAACGACTTCTTATTATTTCCTAAACCCCAGCAAAGGTGTTTCCAGTGCTTTTTGATGAAGTTAAAAGTTTTTTGGAACTTAGAGTATTTGTTGTAGCGGTATATTTGTACCCTGAACAGGATATATTAAATTTGCCACCAAGCGTGTAATACCCAGAAGATAATATTAACCTATAAAATATATACATATATAAATGATCTGCGCTCCTGTCCATCATCTGTTCGTCCATCTGTCTATATATGTCTGTATATATATGAACTAATCCCTCAGTTTTTGACATATCGATCAGAAATTTTGCACCCGCCCTTTCCTTACCAAGAAGCTGCTCATTTGGCGGAATGGCCGATATCGCAGCACTATAGCGTATAGCTGTCATACAAACAAAATGAAGTTCTCTTCTCTTTTTGTGAAGGGTAATTGCAGTTAACGTTATTTCTTTTTTTCCAATTTGGAGTCACTTCCGCTCTTGTCATTAGTTACAGTGTTCTCGCTAATTTCCAACCGTTGTATCTCAATCACATGAAAAAATCAAGCGCCCCATTAACTTCCTGACTTCTCACGAGAAAAGTTATCTCAATTAATTATAAAATATTACATAAAAAAGCTTATGCCATCATTTGTTCGGTGAATTTGCTACTTAGCTTATTATTATAATAATTTATTTAAAAAAAATTTTTTTTTTTAACATTAATATTTGAAGCGCTTACACTTATATGTGTATTTTCCTCAAACTAAATTAACATACTACTGACATGCCGACGTCGTTAGTAGTGTCACAATGTCGTAGAAATTGTTTAAGTTGAGTCTAACAAGTTTAACTAACTGCCATGGCTGCCACCTTTTTAATTAAATATTCATGCTGCACAATTAACGTGCACGCAAATGAAATTAACAATTAGTTTGATCAAAATTGTCAGCATATTCAACGTGCACACATGTGCACACACATATCCATACCTACATTTGTCTATAGATTGATACATACATATGTACACATTTATATGTGTGGATGTGTAGGTGAGCGTGTACGTGCGAGTTTTAATGAGCGTGTGAAATTTTGTTGTTGCCAGCCCATACTCTCTTCTCTGCATATACAAATAAAAAGTTCAGTGAATCTGTCAGCAAGCACAGATGTGTAGGTATCTATTTACATTTATATTTCGTGCAAATAATATCAAGTTAAAGTCGGGTGTGAAAAGGTTTGTGGGACTAGTAAATATTTGCAAATACGACATTCGTTAGTGCGCTTTAATTACATACATATGTATTTAACGATATAAACTAATGCGATTTATATATTTTAAGCAGATTATTTATTATTTTATTTAAAATGTTAAAAGAACTTTAATAATTTTAAGTTGGCCTAGTGTTATTCAGTTTGACCTAATTTAGGAGTTTCCGACAACACTAATTCCATTATTTATGTTTATTTGGTTCTCTTCTGATTTCAATTAATTCATTTTTATTCATGAAATTTCAAATAAAAAAATTTTAGAATTTTCATAAAAAAAACGGACTTATTGAAAATAAAATTATGCTGTTTTGATTAAGTTAATTGAATTATATAACAGCAAGATTCGATCTATTCCCCTAATCAAAAAAAATATGGCAAAGCAACAACAACTTGATCGAGTTAAGGTTCTCATTAAAGTGGTAAAACCGTTAAATTCAATATTACCAAGTTTCGTTTTACACCCTTAAGCGCAGTCTTACCGTTGTAAACGGCTTAAGTTAAAAATATTTATACCGTGAACAGAGTATGCCACGAAGTTTGTAACATTCAAAACAAATCGTTGGACACCCTATAATAAATATATACTAGGCGAGCGAGCGAAGCGAGCGTCCCGGAGCGTAGCGGATCGTCCGCCCCCCGCCGAGCGCGAGCTAGCTCGCTCTTATGTTAGTTGATTCTCGACAGCAGCAGAAAACTTTTATATATAATAGAGAGATATAAATGTTTAACAGTTATCGATCTGAAATTTCGCACACATTCCCTTTACCGCTGATATCGGACTAGCCTTCATGAAATTCGGTATGAATTTTTGCTCAAAGTAATGCTATGATATACTAACAAATTGTTCATGAATGTCTAATCTCGTTATTAATCGCATCGAGTCACTTGGGAAGAAGACTAGAATGAGTGCCTGGCCGCAGTGGAATCGTAGGCAATCAGCAGAATGGGAATGGGCCACACTCCACTTGTGTTCAACTACTGGATAGTTGGGCATCGCGGAAGCTCGGTACTTGACTTTTTTTTTTTCTTAATAATATATATATTTAATGTAATTAGTTTAGTTTTTTAAAAATTATATGCTATAATTTTTGGTGCGAAATTTACTATACCATATTTGTCATTATGATATCGAAATTTAATTAATTAAATTGATTTTGACAGTAATTAATTTATAAAATTAATATTTAGTTTAATATAAAAAATGTTAAATTTATATTAACTATATACGATTTTGCTCAAGTGAAACTATTTAACTGAAATTGGTATCAATTTAGGCATTACGATGTATTCAAATTTGTAACACTTTTAACGTTTCACAATTTAGTTTACTCTTGGAAACAAATTTTTTTTAAATTTATTATTTCTAAATTTACTAATTGATTGAAAATAACATTAATTATATTATCTTAATTAAGTGCAATTAATGTTGCTTGTTAAATCCAAATGTGCCGCATATATGAAAACGAACTCAATTCAACTTGTTTAATTTCAAGGCAGCACTCAAATTTCAAAACATTTTAAATTAAAAAATTTCACTAAATCACCTTTACCAAACTTAATTGCGGTGCGACCCCAGTGGCTTCCATTGTCTGTGCATACGTACTTCATTCTGTCACGGCAGTGCCACATCTTTTCAATTTTTTATTACACTTAATTTTGAGCACGCCATTACGAATGGAGTGTGTAGTGGTTTGGAGTCGGAAAACCAATGGTGGTGCATTTAAAAGTGCTGTCATTTACAAAATTAGCTGGCACTAATTGGGCGGCGACTTGCACTTACTGCTGAGCAGTTTTTTACACTTATACATTTTTAGTTTGTGTTAGTTACAAAAAAAAAAAAACAGTCATATTTGGCTGCATGGAAGCTATAATACCCTTCACAGGTGTATTTTTTACCGCACAAAGGGGTATAAAAAGATGTTCATCTTGATTTGAATCGGTCAGTTTATATGGCAGATATATGCTATAGTGATCTGATCTATACCAGTTTTTCCTTAGGCAATCACAATCCCATGCCAAATTTGGCAAATATATGTCGTAAAATAAAAAAGTTTTTCCTGCAAGCACTTGATTCCGTTCGTTTAGTTTGTATGACAACTATATGTTATAGTGTTCCGATATCGGCGGTTCTAACAAATGCTTCTTGGAGATAAAAGTATGTGTACAAAACTTCTGGTCGATTTTTCAAAAACTGAGGGATTATTTCTACAAACGAAAAATTGCACATTTACAGACAAAACAGACGGACGGACATGGCTAAATGGGCTCAGCTCATCACTCTAATATACTATGTATAAATACTTTGTAGGATCCCCCACATTTCCTTAATATACTGTGTGTAGGGATAAAAATCGGTCCTTGCTGATTGTATCTCGAATAAATAAGTGATAACTTTAAAATAGTATTATAAATTGTTTTAAAGCTTTTTGAAATTGTTTTAATGCTTTTTTGCATATTCAGTATCAGAAAATATTCGAAAAAGATCCCGATATAGGAAATTTTATAGGAAGATTTGGAACGTGCCAAAATGTTAGTCCTACTAATTTCCATGAATTGGTGAATTCCATAGAACACAAGTGTATAATTAAAAAGCGAAGAAATATAAATGATAAAATCGTGCAATGTCTGTATATTTCTAAAGGAGGCAACTTTAAAAGTGACCGCAATAAACGCAAGCAGCTAAGTGACCCTGACCGCACTTCGTAATGAAATTGTCATGTAGCACACTAATTGCAGGGTATACTTTTGTGCGCGCCCATTTGCACAGTCGGTCGCAATATTTTTATTTGCTTAGTTACATTTCAACAAACGCCTTATGTCAAGTGGCAGCGGCGCGTTTTAACAGATGAATACAATGTGCAGCTGACAACAAAATAACCGCACGAAACACCGAAAACGGTAAGGGGAAAGCACTAAGGCATGGTCTAAAGAGATGCGCAGAAAAGCATGCTTTGTTCTAGTCACGCCAGAGCTCTCGCTTATATATGTATAGTCTATTTTGCGTTTAGTCAGGAAAAGAGTGCAATGCAGCCAAAACCAGCTTCTGTGGCATGTTTTGCGGCAAATTTAATGAAACTTCAAAAATGCTGTGACTTCTTTTATTTGAAATGTTTTTACGGGAAACATTTTACATATGAACGCTTTAGTTAGTGAGACATTTATATTGGAGATTTTGCAATAAAATTTATATCAATTGTAATTAAAATTCTAATTATTAATTAAATTTCTATTATTATAATTTTAATTTCAATGTTTTAATTTTAGTTTTAATTTTAATCCTCATTTTTATACTGTTGTAAGTTGTTGCTACAGAGCATAATAATTTGGTTTAATTTTGATTTTAATTTTAATTTTAATTTTAAATTTAATTTTAATTTTAATTTTAATTTTAATTTTAATTTTATTTTTAAATTAAATTTAAATTTAAATTTCGTTTTTAATTTTATTATTAATTTCTTTTCATTCTTAATTTCTTTTTATTCTTAATTTCAAATATGATTTTAATATTAAGTTCCATTTTATCAAAATTTATCATATAATTTTGATTTTCGTCAACACTCTGTTCAAATGTTTGTCTTAATTATGATTGAAATAAAAAAACGTTGCTTACATTTCGGCAATTAAATATTGTTAAATTTGTAACATGTATAATAAAATATAGCCTAGAAGTTTATACAGAAAAGTCAGACAATTCAATATGCCAACATATACACAAAATGCAATCAACAGTAAGAACAAGCAAATTTACCTACGTTACTTCAAAGTGAAAATTAAATCGATTTCAATAGCATACAAGTACACTTTAGTGAATTCTTTCAAATTCTTCAATTTTACTTAGGTTTAATATGTACTAAACTTGAACTTGGTGAAAACTACTGCCGAGTATGTTATTACGTTGGCAGCAAAAATGAAAATATGCAACTAGTTCTAGTAGGAATTTTCTAAACAGATTGAATTATTATTGAATAGTCTTTCCAGGAATACGAAGTTTTAAAAAAAATTATTGTCAGGTCAAATTCCAAAATTTTCAATTTCCAACATACAATAATATTAAAATATTGCTATTTCATGGCTTTGCAAACTTTTCATTTAATACAATATTTACCAAGAATATATAGAGATATATATATGTATATATTATATTTATTTTCACCACATTTTTCTATTAATACTTACATTATGTTTCCACACAACTTTGTAGGCTGCCGGATTCGCATGCACTTTGCACTCAAAATAAACATCATCACCCTCTTCAATATCTTCCGGATTCAAATTCGAGCCCAAGTCCAATTGAAGCGTTGGTATAACTGTAAGTATAGAAATATAAAAATAGAATGATGAAGAATTTCTTAGTAAAAGTTATCGCAAACTCAACATACTAACTAAGAGCTGTGGTTTCAAATCAAAATAAATTTAATTTATAGTCTCACAAATAATATACACAGTTTATATATACAGTGTATTTATGTAAACATATTTATATGTATTCACTAAACTTGAAAATATATCAAACTGTCAATCACGTTAATTCAATCTATTTGGCTAGAAGTTGCAGACAAGCATATCGATTTCATTTGGCACTAACAGATACTTTGCCGTAAGTTCAAACTGTGTCAATAGAAATATGCCGATAAAAACAATGTTAATTGAAATGCATATAGCCAAATATGCTCTTACTATTGTTGTTGTTGACAGTTTGATTAAATGCGCTTCGAAATGAAACTAGACAAGATTTCAGAATTTATTTTATCATTTGCTACTGAAGACAACATAATTGCAATGATTATACAATATAACAGTAGAAATTTACTTATTTAAAAAAAAAAAAGAAATATTGTTTTACATTTGAATTAATTTTTGTTTACAATTTTGAGGAATACGAATGATTCGTTCAAAAGTTTTAAAATTGTGAAGATTTTTAATATATTAAAAGATTTGCTTCAATCGCTTTGTGATTAAATATTTCTTCACTTTTAGAAAATAGAATTTATGAGTGTCGAGTGTAAAGCCATCATATCTAAATATTATGATTTGGCAGGTTGAAAATCTTTTAATCAGCGTTGATGCGTGTGAACTCATATTGGCTTTGTCGCCTGACGATTGAAGATAGTTATTATTTGATTTGTTCTAGGTAGTGATGGCCGAAAAAGTCCAACTAAATGATTGATGTACCTTTACTTAAGTTTCAAAAAACTCTGTTACTGACTTATAACTGAGATATATTGCTTCACAGACATTTTTTCAGAGTTCAAAACTGTAGATAGCAAGATGGATTGTTTGTTAATTGCGATCTATTACCAAGCAAAACATAAATCGCACTACAAAACTGGTGTCTAAAAGTTGGAGGATCGCTTTAAAATTAGAATAGAATTTTGTCTAAAAATAGGCCCTCCATTAGAAGAATAAGACTTCTTTAGATTAAAGGGCTTAGAAAAATTACAACTATCGTATGATAGAATAGAATGGAAAAAAAACTATAATATACCCGTACACTGCGATCTAAACTATATTGTGCCTTTATATTAGTACTCGTATATACCAAAAATAAAATAAAAATAGTACTAAAAATAAAACAAAGAGTACAAACTTTCTTACCCTTTTTGATTTTACGAAAATTAAATCTGTCAAAATAATTTTTATAAAACTCAACTCCAGCATATAGCGTCTATTGTGTGCTTGTTCATCGAAGATCTTATAGTATCTCTTGCAAGTGTCCCGCATCGCAATCTGCGTTTTACGTAGGCAAAGAACTATACACGCCTATTGGCTGTCACTGTTTTCTCTACAAATATTTTTATTTCATTTTTCCTTCGTGTCTTTGCGTTTCTGCTCACTACAGTTTCACCAGCACTTTGGAGAATGTGTAATGTGGAATGTTTATGTAAATGAGCAAGGAAATTGAAAATGTTATCTAATTTAATATCTTCGAAGGCAAGGCAGACGAGCTGTCGAAACGAACAAGCATATATAGATGCTTATGAACGCTTACACATACACATATAGTTACATACGCATGATATGCACGTAACAGCATGTGGTGACATGCAGTGGTTATGCGTTGAGTGTGTGTATGTGTCACAATAGTGTGCTAAAGGCTGAAGTGTGAAAGCGCCAAAAAGTATGTTATAATAAACGAAGCAATTTTTAAACAAAACATTGCAGTTTTGATATGTAAAACTCACAGCTATCTACATATAGATTCGTATAAGGAGCTGCTTTGGTTGTCGGTATACAATTTGGTTGAAATTGTTGCGTGTGTTCTTCCTCTGCGATTCATTGTTATTGCTTCATATGTGTGTAACGAAATACTCGAAGTATAACGAACACATTCGATTTAAGTGATAACGGCAAGTTGTCGTGTAAAGGGTGCTTGTAAATATGTGAAGCGAGTTTTTTCTATTTTTTCCGTTTAATGACTTTCTTAGTCATCTACGGTTTGTAGCTGATATAACATACACAAACACATAAATAAAGCGAAAATGTGCCTGTAAACATATATTGCTCACTATAATAAGCTCTTGGTGCCCAAAAAATGTTGCAAAGCTTATGCATACACACATTTTTACTATAAGGATACTGCTACGTTTAACGGTATCTATTTTTCTTTCATTCTATGTTGCTCGTCTTCTCTTACAACATTTACAGTGTCTTAGAAAATCTAGCTTTTTTTGCACATATTTCTCTTGAATTTTGTTTGTCATCGTCACTGCTTTAAGTTTCCGTATGTTTTCTTTGTTTGGCTTTTAGATTTTTGTTGTTGTTAGCAAAGCAACAATGCATTTTATAGCCAATCAAGTTGAGTGCTTCATTTCGCTTGTTCATATTTACATATACTTTTATATGGATTTTGTCTTTGTATCACAAAATTTGGCAAAGCAGCGTTGCGGCTTTATTTAAGTTTGCGTGTATGTGTGTTACAAAATTTTATAGTAACTAATTCAAGCGTTGAGCAAATAACAAAATATACAAGTATTTGCTTGTATAAATGTATATGTCAGCATGGAAGTTAGAATAATGCAAATTTTTTGAAATTGATTTCAGTGCAAACTTTTTGTGATGAAAAATTATCAAAATCGTTTTTAAGGCAAATATTTAATAACAATTAAATGGAAAGTATTTTTAAATGCCTCACTTATTCTTCCAAAAAGCGGTGGTGTGAAAGAAATATGTTAACTATGTTTAGCAAAATATATATACGTCTAGTCTTAGAATAACTCTTCTTACTCGTCCTACTCACACAAAAGGCCAGCGCTGGTTTAACATTTGGTGCCCTCGGTGCCTGCGCACAAGTGGAGGCAGAATTTAAAACATAAAAAGTTTTTTTTTATTACTTCACAGTGCTGTAATTGTGAAAAACTCCAAAAAGACATAATTTTTTTTTACAAAAAATACGATAAATACATAATATCTAGCAACGGGTTCCATGATCTTAACGCGAACAGTGTAACGGGAATTTATTCAGGTTTACAGGCAAGAAGTAAGGAAGTCAACGCTGTAGCAGAACACGCTTCCTGTGCAGGTAATTCGACGAATTTATTTGAAGTCCACGCAATAGAAGGTACCCCTGAAGCAGCTTCGCTTTTGAATGCAGTTCCAGTGTTGTATAATTTTTTACTGAATCGGAAATAAAATTTCTTTGATACCTTAGTCTGCAACAAGTTCGTCAGTAAGCAGTTCATTAACATTACGGTGAAATTATTGAAAAAAGAATGCGACCACAAGGTAAAAAGCGAGAGGTCTTCTAGCGACTCGGAGCAACATTTTAGCAGATTTTTTGACAATTTTTGCTTTAGAGGCTTAATGATGTCAGCCAAATATTGCTGTCGATATCAGCATAGCTGCCGTGATTGATGACTACCGTCGACTGATTTAAGTGGTAACTGATGCACAAATGAAGTTTGAAGTTTATGAAGAGAAAAAAAATATATGAACTATATAAAATTCCAAAAAATAAAGAGAAGTTCAATTCTCAGGAAGACTTAATTTTTAAGTTTACATTTGTTATTTTTGACAAGCTCGATTCTGAATGGTGGAAAAGAAAAGTTGGTATGTAATACACAATCCGAGCTTTTGAAACTTTGAAAAAAGCTTATAAAGGGGTTTTAATTAAAAATATTGATACCCAAATTGGGGATATAGTACTCTTATTACTTAATTTATTTACTTATAGTAGATGAAACCGTTGCAAAATTTATTTATGACAATTTTTTTAAGACTCAGAGTTAGAATAACTTTACTGCTATATAAATCCACTTGTATCAAATAACTTTCCACGTTTTATAGTATAAATTTTGATATCACCAGTTTGTATTAAGATAATATTATATTTAAAATCCACGTACATTGGAAATATCATATGCTTAATAAAAAGCTTTAACCGTGCCTAGCTGGCATTTACCAGATTTTTTCACACGCATTAGTTAAGCGATATAAGTAATTATTTCCATTAATGATTTACTAAATAATATATAAAAAAATAAAAATTTCAAACAATAACAATATTACTTACAGAAAACATTAAGCTTCATCGCCGTCTCCCGTATACCGTTGCGCACGAGCTCATTCGTTGCACGACAGGACAACGCTTTGCCATGATCACTACGCGTTGGTGTAATGCTGAGTACGGAAAGGCTTACATTGCCATCTTCCGAAACCTTTAAAGAATTCGAAAATACGACATGAAAAGTTTGCCATAAGAAAGTTAATTTTAAGTAATTTTATTTAAATTGATATTTATAGATTATATAATAAAGTAATATTCATAGACTATATTTCAAATAAATCATATACATTTTTCTTGCATATATCTATATATACATATGCATATGCTTATTTATATATAACAAAAAAGTATAAATAATTTTGCAATAAAAATAAAAAAATTTTTTCATAACCTTTTGTATAACAAATTAAATATTATTTAAAATTTTGTATATTAATATTATTTAAAATATAAAAAGTCAATGCGGTGCATTTTTAATTTAACAAATTATAAAATTTTTCCACAACATTTAAAGTGGAGCTTAGTATAATAATAATTACACCAAAAATTTTCAACATTATAAGCCATAATATAAATCGATTTCGTGCTTATTCCTTCCTTTACAACACCAACTTATTTTAATACATAAGTAACTACCTTAGCATTAAACTTTATTTAAAACTTAATATTTGCTTTTAAAAAATACTTTTTTTCCTACCTTTTGACTGTGTCCCAACAGCTCCATATTACCCATCCACCAGGTAATTTTTGATGGTGGCCTTGAGCCAATGGCTTGACACTCAATTTCGTATTTGCGATCGGCAGACATCGGTTGATTGTTGAAGGAAATCTCAACCACAAGCGGTCGCACTGAAATTATATTGAGTTTAAATAAATATTAAACTGAAAGTACTTGAGAACTATTTGAGGTTATAATAAAAATTAAATGTTGTTTTGATTGAGTAACAATAACTTAACGCTTTTATGTAATACCTGAAAATTATAGAGATAGATATACCAGTAAAATAGGTTCGTTGGTAGGTAGATAAATGATCAGGATGACGTATATAAGTTAAATATACTATAGTTTAATGCTGAAAATGTGTGTATTCGTGCCATGAATTTCCCAAGCTCCCCTATACTTCATACATACATATAATGAGCTTTATAACGAATATCCCGGTCAGTATGTAAGTTACTTCCTTAAAGATGCATGGGTACATGTTCTTGCAGCATTTTTCCTAGTCTAATATTTATCAAATAGCGACTTGCGATTTTCCACCTGACTTGAAACCGTTCATCATAGTCAAAATGTTAGATATTTTAATGAAATTAAGTGGATTCGTTTTCGTGTTTATATATTGGTTGAGCGCTGTATATAAATGAGTCGGTCTAGACCTTGGCCTAAGCGCCATTTCACTCATATAATAATTCAAGGTTCTCTAATTGACAGTTACTAAATAACCCTCATACGTTAATTTCAGCGTCATTGGCTGAGTTTATATCACACGTACCTCATATGAGCTAACTAGGGTGATTTTTATATAATTATCGCGGAAACGAAACCAGATTTAGTAAAGAAAACTGATGAGTGTATGACGTTTACTATAGGTTAATATATTAACTATTACCTATATAGTTTTTAGCCATTCACTTTCTTACAACACATGTTTCAACATAAAACTTTCCAAATCGCAGTTTAAATCCTTGTAAATTGCCAGAGCATAAAATACGCGGTTACATCCGAACTGAGATTTTTCTTACTTGTGTGTGTTTTCATACCCTGAATAGGGTATATTTAGTTAGCCACGAACATTGTCACATTCAGGTTACCCTGTAAAATGTATATATAAATGCTCAGCATGATGTGCTGAGTCGATTTAGCCATGTTCTCGGTTTTTGAAATATCTGAAATTTTTCACACGTACTTTCTTCCCCAAGAAGCTGCTCATTTGTCGGAACTGCTAATATCGGACCACTATATTATTATAGCTTCGGTGCAACTGAATATTTTAATATTCTAAACTTTTTTAAGCGATTACAAATACAAAATACTTGAAATTAGTTTGTTTACAACTTTCATCACTTTACACTTAAAACACTCCTCCAATAATATATTAAATTGTATCATAATTATCTGATGCTTTTGGAATTAATTGCAAAAAATCGCAAATGAATAATTACTCTGTCTGTAACCATGCACCCAAAGAAATATGTTTCAATTGATATGTGAACTACTAATAGTTAATAAATGATTTTTATATTTTACTACAATTTACATGCGTTTTTGCACGAGTAAATTGTTGCCAACAACTTCAATTAGCACAAAGGTATTAAATGTATACTGAAACGTATGATTGTTTTTGTTTTTAATTTATGCTACAAATAATTTTTGCACAATTTCACTGCGTTTAAACAAAGTGTAATATTTTTAAACGCTTTCAATACACATTTTTTACGCTTGTGATTTATTTATTGCTACAAATGCACACACAGTGGGTCGCTACGATGGCAAAGCGCATAAAAATATTATTACGAGTATATATAGTATTGCCAACATTATAGCACTATAAAATTGAACTTAATATCAAAACATGATACAATTAAAAGGCTGCCTATACATACTTCGAGTTTCTAGTACAGGAAAATCAAAAAATACCGCGACCAAATAGTGATAAGTATCAAAAAGTTGGCGCACTTTGCTTTCTTTAATTTTGATTAACTCTTCCTTCTCGCGTTCTATAATATTAAGGCGCAATAAATTACTCAAGCAATGTGTCACATCACAAGTAAATAAGCTCAGAAAAATTACCATGCAACTGGCATCTAAAGCGCCCAAAATGTATTGTGGTGAGCCACGTTTTCATTAAACGTTAAATATGTGTTTTTCTGCTAAGCTAATTGGGGAAAAACGGCTTCACAATAACAGAGCGCAAACGCGAAATGTTAAAAGCATTTCACTATAAAAGCATAAAGCTTTCTCAGTCCAGCGTGTGCTAAGTGCATATTTATATACTTTTTTCTGTTATTAAATGTGGTTTGGTAGCAGCAAGTGGAAAGTGAGTTTGATATTTATTTTCATTACTTTTTTCTTTTGAGTTTTTATTATGTATAGATGGACGTTAAATATTATTTTAACAGGTCGCTGCACTCATTTGCTATGCAACTGTGTACTCTTGTATATAATATTCAAGAGAAATGCATATAAGGCACTTAAATTTGTACAGGCAGCAATTTAGGTGTTTACTTAAATAAATATGTTTGGTGTGCATGAATATGAGTATGTTTTTATTATTGTGCAATTGTAAATAAATAAGCAGTTAAAATGTTATTTAAGTTAGTATTTTATATTAACAAAATAGCAATCAAAATTATATTTTGAAGTTTTGAAAACAAAAAAATTTCATGAACCATAGTGAATTTATGAACCTTGGTATTTTTTTCCAATACGAGTAAGCGCAAAAAAAAACAAATCTGCTTTTTCATATATTAATCACATTCACGACCTGTGAATGAAATAAAACATTCAAATTTGGTCAAAATGGGTCTGTCTTTTGTTTTTTGTTATGCAAATAATTTTGTGCCATTTTTGATTTGAACAAAATGTTCGTTCAAATAGCCACCACGGCTCCGTTTACTTATCTTCACCAGTTACGCTAATTTTCAATTCCTGGTGCAGCAGTTGGGCTATGGTATACTGAATTTTGTCTACGAGCTACAAGGTTGATTGGCATAAACTTTTCACTTAACATACCGTCAGAGAAAATAATTTAAAGGCGTTATATCGCATGATTTTGGCGGCCATTTGACTACGCCATTTTACAAAATTAACAAGTCGCCAAACTTTACGTACAATGTGTCCATTTAGACACGAAGCACGAGGCGGCGCACCGTTTTCTTTTGTCTTATTGTTTAACATTTCAAGAATATGTCCTTAAAATTTTAGGTCAATAGAAGCAATATTCTTGAAGTTATTGTCTTATTAATCTTCTGGCCTTAAACGCTCTAACCAATAGTTCATAAACTTTAGACGCGTTTTTCTCAAAACTACTTTTTCAAAGTCCGTATTCATTATCATTTCAAAACTACTTGACCGATTCATTTCAAACTTTATACACATTTATGACACATAAAATATCGCCTCCTACGTTTAGTAAACATTTTTTTTTACATTAAGCGTGTTTTCCACCCCCAAAATGGCGAAATTTTTAGTGGAAAATAACAGTTTACACTTTAGATAGCCGCCAAAAATTTTTAAATGAAAAAAAATTATCACAAAACGTTGGGGGGGAAGATTTGATCATAATTTAACTAATTTTTCTTAGTTTTTTTTCAGATAATTTCCAGCCTAGTTATGATGAACACCGCAAATTGTTTTTTTCTCAAGACATTCTGGGGGACGCTCTGTTGCCGGCTTTTGCTTAAATATTCCTGGATGAAAAAATTACCCTATATTGTCGAAAGTATGCTCAATAATGTACAAAAAGTCCGAATAAAATTACTCAATCCATATTTAATAAAAAAATTCGCAAAAAAGTCTTTTTTTTTGTTTACCTTGAAAATATGGAGAAAAAAGGATACATTAATTTGATTATTTTATAATTAGGTAGACCGATTTTTAGGAATTCAAATGTTCTCAGAGGGTGTGATAAGGTTGTTTGTAATTTAATTAATTAAATGGAGGATAACATATTATTTAAGCTTATTTTAAATTTGCACATTTTTATATAAAAACATAATTGTATATCCTGTACGTCACCATAATTAAGTAGCGACTACCTTTCTGATAATGTCAACAAAAAATTAATGGCTTTTTTAACTTTACTGCAGGTAAAAACATAACATAGCCTTACATAACACAGCTAATATTTTATATCTGGTGTTAACTTATTTCGTTTTTTTTTTTAAACTTTTTTTCTCATTAATTTATAAGCTTTTATTACAATACAATAATAAAATTAATTACACACATTATTTGCTGTGCGTTAAAATCTCTACATTGTAGCTATTAATTGCGGCGTAACAAAAACAATAACAAGCTGATGCCAGAGATTGAAGTGAATACTTTAATCCATGTTATTAAAATATCAGGCAATATCACGGCGCTGGCGTTGGCAAAGTGCGTTTGTTTGCAGTACGGCAGGTGTATAGTAAAACGTTCAAAACATAAGCGATAAAGAATGAGAATATTTATCCAATGCAAATGCGTTTCTACAAATGCTTTGATTTTTTGGAAAATAGTTGAAACAAATCGTCATACTTCGTTAGATATCTCAATGTACAATACATGCTCAGAATATGAAGCGAGCGTGTTTGAATTGCGGCCTCAAGACCATCTGTGCACCCGCTATAATTTTTATTTTCTTGCAATCTTATCACAAAATAAGCTTACCGGTTTTATGCGGTGAGTATAATGGTAATTTGATAAATGACCGTCGGGTAACCGCTGAAAATTTGTTAACGACGACAGGTGTGTAGTGGACGTATTAAAGTGAAGTTGCAGGTAAAATTAAATAAAAAAATAAGCATAACAAATAAATGAGTGTAAAACGAGAAGAATCATATTTCATGCACTATTTTATGTGTTAAGCGGGTGTAAAAAAATAAAATATTAATGCATAAGTTTATAAAAAAGCTTGAATTTAAAAAAATATTGTAATTTACATTGTATAATTTATATTTTTTAAAATTAAATAGGCTTTAATTTTTATCAGTTGTCGTATTTGTGGATCTACAAATATTCACTTCATCGTGTTGACTTAGAACAAGTTCCGGAATAATTATAATCCTGATTTTCTGACCGATTTGAATGCTTTGGCACAGGCAGTTCGGCTTTATGTAGAATGTGTCAGTTGACCGTAAACAAGTTTGGATACTGGTTAGTGTGTTTGTACTTGGCTATAATGTCTTTTGCATGAGTCAAACAAAAATAACAATCGTTTACATGATATTTTGCTTCGGTCCTAATCAAATTGGTATAACAAATGGCATATGTCTGAGTTCTAGTTTAGCCCAAGCTAATAGCAGTGTCGGTTGACTAATCGAAACACCGCTAAAGATCTTCATTCATCGACTTGACTGTTGGTAATATCAAACCACGTGACTAGAAAGAAATAGCAAAACGTTTTTCATTGGATGCAAGCCGTTGACCGGATTTATCAGAATTAGTTATACATATTTCGGGGCTAATTTAGAAAAGTTTGACATTCGCTGATAAGCAAATTGTCGATTAGAAAAAGATATTCTTTAGCGGAGACTCGCACCAAGTGTGTCTTGGATAAAAACGCCGTACTCTTATTACATAATGTATTTAGACAAACAATCTAAGAAAAAAAATTGTACATACTAACATAGTGCTAATTGCAATTGCCTTAATTAATTGTTCAATTTAATACTAAATTTATTATTAGACAACATTAAAGCTATCTCTATTTACAAAAGTCTATAAATAATATGATTTAAAATTATTAATACTAATACCTTGTTCCCCACTAAAATGCTTACATACACTCTTAAATACATGTACATACTAAATACAGCAGAACTTTTGTTGCATTTTCGCGCATAAAAACACGCTCCACTGATTTCATAACCCCTCGCTATATCTAATTAATTTACATACTTTTAACAAAATAGTACAGCAGCGTTACATTTATTTCACTTTAAACATTTTACATAATGAAAATCCTTAATGCGCTTACTAAGCATGCCAAAATCTCTTTCGTTGTTTGTGTGGTGGCCGCGGTTGTGGCATTAGTTCCAACATTAGTGCAGCATTAAAATTTAAAATATTTAATTAAAATTTAAAAAAAAAATCACCGAACGGTAATGTGTGAAGTCGACCATTACACATAATGCCACTCATACACACAAGCATACGCACACACAATAATACAGCACCGAAACACTTCCACATTTGCACATTTTTGTTAATATGATAAATTGCTATCACAGGTTGGTAAAGCTGTGGAAGCATACATGCACATTTTATGAAATTGTTGCAGGGTATGCGCGAACTTGATCAAAAAATTTTAATATAAATAAGCCAATATTTATGTAGAGCACTGCAGGAAATTCGGAATCGCTCGCGAAATAATAATTTTATTTTATTGTATAAAAATAATATTTTCTTTAAAATTAAAAAAAAAAACAATATTAATTTCTTAGCAATTAATTATAAAGAAATCTAACAAGAGCTGCTGTTGCTGACCAAGTCTAACTTTAAGGGTAAACATTAAGAAGTTAGTGGTAGTCAGAGGCACAAAAAAATGAGAATTTTCAGTAATTTTTTTTTACCAAAGTAGTAATATGGCATTATTATACAATGTTTTGACTTAAAGTCACTAAAATTAAAAAAAAAAAAAAAAAATTTTATAAAATTTAATTTCCAAAGTCTGTTTTGAACCAGTTCCACAAAAATGCCCTTGCGGTGACATCAAAAGTCCTTGGATACTCATCTAAAATCAATCGGATGAAAAAAATTTGTTTTATAAATAGAAAATCCTGGACCTGATCGAAGGAAAAAAATCAACAGTTAATTGATATTAAAAAATAGAAATTTTCGAAAAAAAAATTTTTATTATGTATTCTAAATGCTGTATACATTTCATTGAAATCTATTGGGCGGTTTTAGAGTTACAGTTGTCACCAGTTCAAAAAACATAGTTTTGAGAAAAACGCATTCAAAGTTTCACACTAGAGCTCTTGAGCGCTCTTTGTTATTTGTCGAATAACTCAAAAAGTGACTCGAAAATTTCAGAGGATATTTTCAAGATATTACACTTAACGAAAATGCAAAAAAAAGAAATCGATTATTTGAAAAAAATAGTCATGCGAATAAGCAATAACTACAACAGCATTACATCTGTACCGTTCAAAAATTATAAATGTAATATTTGTGCAGTATCCCACATTTGTTTTACGTATACGCCGTGGCACCGTGCTGCTGATTAGCAGTTACTGATATAACACATCGCAAATAACCAATTTTTCGGGCATTAAATATGTATGCATAAGAATTTTATAAAACTAACTCACACTCTAACGGAATATAATATTGCTACCGTTATAATCGATATAAACTGTCATTAGTTTGAGTGCTTATATCCCTAAATGATTAACGAATTATTAAATATTATATAAACTATGTTGCTGATTGCTTTATTAAGACAACGCCAAAATTTGTTTGATAACTAGCAAATTGCACCCAAATAACAGCAGAAGTGAAAATAAACATTAAAGTCAGTGAGTAACAGCAAAAAAAAAATATAATAATAATTTAAAATTAAAAATTAAACAGCTGCTTGGAAGACCAAAGCCGATATAATTATATTATCTCCATAAAAGCTCTTTAAGCCCACCCTGATAAAATCTTTACTAAATACTTAATTGAAGAACTTAAAATAACTATTGAAAAATTTATGAAAAAGTACTAAGTACCCTTAATTCTTCATGCTCACTAACCTTAACCTTATATAATAATAGAATACGCCGCTCTTCATCGTAAAAATTGCTAATTAACAATAAACCAATACACATTAATATTTAATTTGTTGTCAAAATATTTTTTCTAGGCTATAACCGTTTTAATTCACAAAACTTTTTACTAAACTGTTTTGGTGATTTGGTATGAAGGACGTGTGCACTTTGCAGATTTGTTGCTTCTATTGGTTTCACTTATTTATATTTGCTTATAAATATATGTTAAAGCAACATGTTCGATATAATTTGTGGTTTGATATATTAGTCTTCACAATGCTGTTGTTTTTGACATTTATCAAACATATACAGTAAATGGCAAGTAAATAAACTGATTATGGCAAAGGTGGCAACATGTTAGCAGCCGACATAAAAGTAAATATTTGCGCTCATTTTCAATCGAACCAGCGAATAACCACGGAAATAACGGAAATCTGTAGGTAGGAGTAAAGATAAGTAACAAACAAAAGGGTATTGGCTGGGGCAGCTGTCAGTGCTATTTGATATTCCCTAGCAGATATTTGTACAAAGTTTTTTATGAATTAATATGTGAAAATGCTGTTTGGACTTCGGCGGTTGTTGGTGTAATGGCTGTATATAACAAATATATAGTAAGCAAATATTTATTTTAGTATATATTTATTTTACTAAGTATTTGATATTTATTTGAACCATAATTATTTGCTCTAAATGTGCTAACTTGTTTTTATTTCGTTAACATATTTCAAGTTTTTTTTTTATATTTTGCTTTAATTGGTGTAGCTGAGTCACCCTGTTTAACTCATATATACCTTATATTTTACATAAATAAGTAGGTAAATCGGTGCGTATTTACCCTCTGAATAATACCACGTGATACCAAAATTTTCATTACACATGTTGTTGTTGTACTTATTGAAGATTGTTGTTTATTGATTTTGTCACCAAATAGTTGAGTTTTCTTGATGAAATGTACGTTGTTTACTTTTATTACAATATTGGTATACAATTTTTATTCAATCGTCGTTGTTTGCGCAAGCAATAATACTCTTTATACTCGCACTTATTTTATGATAGTGATATTTCCATTGTTATTATGGAAATTGAAAACCATATGCTTAACTTTCAACTTTACAAGAGTCCTTGTAATAAAATTACTTTGATCTTCAATGAATTTTTTTTAATATAGAATTAATTAATTTGTTCAAGAGTACTAATTGTAGATTCAAAATATTTAAATTACTCATAAGACACGTATGACTCAGTAAAAAAATTTACTTGTGCCGATAGTTTAAAAGTTTATTTTGGATTAAAAGCTTGAATGCAATTTTAAGAAAAATTTATACAAAAACGTTATTTCTGAATTGGCAGAGTTTACTTTTCATTGATTAAATATTAACTTTTTATACTTTTGCACATGTCTTCCAACTTATGCAATTTATTTTACTCATACGCAGTATGTAAATGCTTATAATTTGTCAGTATATTAGTATATATATATACGTAAAAAAAGAAATATATATATATATATCTACACATGTATATATTTATGCGTATATATGTGTAACCTATTATCTTGCATTTGTATTTTCCAATTAACAATATTGTGCACATGTTCACATACTCGTACGCATTCATTCGCCGTGGCGCACAGAATTTCATTGCAAAATAATGATGTAATTTATTTAATTTACTTAAAAGCTATTATATATCAAATATATCTGTACACCTGTATGTAAACCTGTATATATAATGAAACTAATTAAATTAATACTTACAATACAATTCAATGGTGATATTGGTGGAGACATATTTCTTGTGAAAATTACTCGCTTGACACGTGAACACAGCATGTTGGTGTATGCGTGACAAATTCTTCACCAACAATCTGCTCTTGATGGTGCCATCTGCTGTGAAGTCCACTACACTATTCTGAATGTGACCATTCCAGAGCCAAGTCACTGTGGGCGGTGGTGAGCCTGCAAATTAAGAATGAAAAAGTAAATATTTAAAATTAAATATATATATGAGTAATTTTTCTTAAAATAAAATAATGTGTATAGAAATTAATATTTATATGGTTACTGTTGTAGAGATGTTGTTGGAGTGTAGTTTGTTGCTGCAATAAATACAATACAAGTATATCACATAACTGTCTCACTAAATACCACCTATGCCAAACTATTAAAGCCACATATCCCACATTTCACGGCACAAATTAGTTAGATATGATTTATGTAAGCGGTTGTCCACAAATGGGAACAATAAGATTATTTATGTTTGTTTCTAGTATCTTTGTTATTTTAGGTCAATTCGGCTTGACTCCATTAGCAGTGGTGATATATGTATGCCATATTAGGCAGCAATTGTTTGTTGTGAAGACCTTTTTCTATGCGCTTTCGTGCAAATAGAGTAGTAGATAGTAAACAGTGAGATATGGTGTATATGTGAATAAATGTTTGGTAACATTTTCGTCAAATAACAAAAAAACATATCAAAATGTTTCCAATAATTAAAATTATAGGAAGACTCGGAAATAACTAACATATAAAAATAGAATTCCAAACTTCATTCAGTTATTACTAAGAGTCCACCACTTAAAATATTAGAACATTTTCATAATTTTATTTTCTTAAATTCATCATTCTTTTGAAATTCCATAAACAATGCGTGGCACTAATACAAAACTTGTTCACCGTAATGAACAAAACAAAAAAAAAGGATTTCGAAAGAGATCTCGGCTGCCTTATAATCAAAAAAATTGCTTAAAATATCTATATACAAGTGTCATACGCCGTGGTGCACCAGATCACCAAATATGGTAAATTCTGTGAGCCGTTTACTTATATGCACATAAATTAAATACAAGTGATGCTTAATATCATAGAAAATTGAATTTAAAATACTCGCGGATAAAAATTATTACAAAAGTGCGCCTTGTGTAACTCATACGACATGTCATATTATCAACAAAAATCAGTTGATTATTATTTTGTTTGCATAGATTATTATATAAGTGCTTTTAATATCCAAAAATTGAAAAGTTACTCAAATTTTGCGTCAAATGACAGACACGTCATGCGTGTCTGTAATATTAAACATATAAAATGAGTTAATTCTGCTTATAATATAGGTATATATATAGGTATATATATACATAATATAATATATATGGCATATGTATATGCGTCATTCCATCCAAAATTTACATTTAAACATTTTTTTGTGTTCCATGTTGCAAAATATGAGACAACTACTTTTTTATTTCGACACAATTTGAAAACTTTGAAGTTATGAATTTTCAAATGTATCAAATGTAAATTTATATGTAGAAAAGTATTCATTATAAAAATAACTAGTTGGCCTATTCTTTGCGAATATTTCTCAGCTTTCCAATGAGATGCACGTTAATTTTTTTTGAAGTATTTATTTTTATATACAAAAGTTACATTTTTATAAAAAAAAAATTTTGTATCAATTTGGAAATATTTTTACTTTATTTTTTTAATGAAAAATTCTGGATAGAATGACTCATATAAATATTAAGTTGTACTTTTTAAGAGACGAGGCATGAAGTTACAAGAAGCTTTAAATAAAATCGTATTTAGTAAAAGATGTTGCCGCTTCTCTAAGTCACGCTTTCAACTCAAAAAGTTCTTTCAGCCGTTGTTTTTGCAAGCCTGCCAACTATTTCCGCAAAATAAGCGGCTCAATATGTCAAAAATATTAGATATGCAAATATTGTGCCATTTAAGCCTTTACTTTTCTGCGCAGTGTGCTCACTACCTGTCCCTCTTTGAAAATGTGTTCTGCAATTTTTGTGCGGTGCGGCCGCCGTGTCTGCCAGAGATGTGCACATCCATTAAGGAAATTGCATTTTATTTATATTTTGGAACTTAAAGTAATCGCTTTTTCAAAGTGCAATCAAAACATATACAAATGACAAAATGGAGCAAAAACTGTATGCTTGGCGAGAAAAAAAGTACAGCAAAAGGACAAATGAGCTTTATACGAAGTATCTGTGCAATGAGGAGAAGAGGTATACGGCATAAAAGTTTTGTATACAAAAAATGCGCTGCCAACAAGCAAACACATACCAGCAAAGGCAAGCAGAATTTCTATAATCGTTAAGGAATACAAATTTATGTCATATTACAAGCAACACACTATAAGTACGTACGAATATGTATACGCGATGTATTTTCCGTTGGCAGGCAATTTGTTGCAGCGGCCAAGTAGCCTCTTTAAAGGATATATTTAGTGGAAAAACGTGGAAAAGGCAGACAAACTAAGTAGCAGCAGAAAGCCAATTTTGTGTCAAGTGAAAAAATGTTCTATAACATAAAGTACAAACAATAATAGCAACAACTATTTGACTGCCAAACAGTATGAGTTGGCCATAACAATAAGCCGAAATGGCTGGGTTGTGTTGATGGACCCAAATAAAATACACCTACCGCCAACAAAAAGACAAGCAAACAGTGGCGCATTACGCTTCAAGTGGGAAGTGCGAAGCTAACTGTTAATGCTGGATATACGAGTAAACAGGAAAGAAAGCCAACGAAGTTTGGTAAATACATTTTCAGCCAAATGGCAGATATTCGCAACCTTTAAGCGAACACACACAAATACCGTTACAGAAAGACTGGCAAAAGTTAACGATTCTACGCGATCTGGTTGGCTTGTCGAAGCGCTATCTCTGTCTGACCGCTCATGATGGGGTCTTGATGCCAACGACAAATTGCCATTATATGCGGCTCAAGCGCTTACCGTATAGTTGGCAAAATGACGAGTACAACAAATATAAAGAGTGGCATAAAATGAAATTGCAAAGCCACTGGTTCACATGCGAGCGCAAGTCTGGGTGTGTCTGGTTGAGCATGGGACCAAAAGGAACAGGAATAAAGATTGCATCAAGGCTAGTATGAAATGTCAATAATTCGTGGCTCGGACGTTGACTTTTTAACAGGCAGCTGAATATACTTTCGAAAGATAAATTTTAAGATTTGGAGTATACCAAAAAGCTTGCGAAACGAAGGTTAAAAAAAACAGCGCATTGGTGCAGATTTGCTTATTTGGTATAATAAAAAAGTCCTAAATTGCTATCTAGCTATCAAATTTAGGCTAAAGTGTTAAAATGTCTAATTGATGCTTTTCTTTTAGAACATAAAAAAATTATCGTTGATTTTGAATAAAAAATATATAAATATGATATATTTTGATAATAAAAAAAATATTGGTTCTGATTTCCAATTTTTAAAGCTCGCAGAAAAGATGTACGAAGTTTCAAAATGATCCAAAGCTATTAGAAACTAATATTCTAAATTTCAGTGTATTGAAATCGAGAATATCAAGCCATTTTCCAAATTTACTTTATTAGATTCCATAATATTCCAGACGGGTCAAAAATGGCGAATGGAGTGAGCGCCGCAATATATTCCTTCCATTTGAATTTTAGCGTTCCCCAAGTTTTTGTAATACTACAAAATCTTCCAAGTGAAAGTCTTTGTGGTCAGATCAGACGCCTGAGATAGCTAATAATGCAGGAAACAGTTATGCTCAATATATGTATACGTCGATAGCCAGATGTCAATTAAGGTAATAATCTCGCACCATATTACGTCAGAGAAAGTTCTTAGAAGCAAGGAAGTAGTAGATGTAGTGGCTGCCGGACTTTATATACTATAAAAAATCCTGGGAAAATGTTTATGGCCATTGAATCACTAGAGAAAAAACGTAAGTCCCTAAAAACGATATTCCATGAAATTTCCGAATTTACTAACACATAGAATCAGAGATGTAATGCCTTAAGTACATGCAGGATCGCCATGATGATGTGCAAAAGCTCTAAGAAAATTATTTTAAATCACACGGTCTCGGAAGGGCAAAATGACAGCCCACAACCCACTGTCATCACATGCGCAAGTGTGGGAAAGAAGGCATAACTGAGACGCAGAAACCACTCCTGCTTCTGTCCCGCATTACCTAGAACTCATGCTAAATATCTAGCAGCTTCGCAGTTTAAGGAACTAGATAAAGAATCAAAATTAGATATTACAATAAATCGCTCTTAAAGTTTGCAAAAACCGTTGTCGTTCTGTGTGACGAATACTTCCGCTCAAATTAACTCTAACATCCATTTTACAGTACTAAGGACCAGTAGGTCTATGTATGGCATGACAGCCGGCTAATATACCTTATCCTAACCTAATTTAGCTGTTAGAATTCAATAATTTAAAGAGTTTTAGAACCAAATTTTGTTAAAAATATCTAAAATGGTTTGACCTCTAGTACCTCACATTATTTACATAACTACAAACAATAAAAGCACCTATCTCTAAATCAAGCACAGTAGTCAATTGCTTTTCAGAGCTGACTGCGACTGTATACATACAAATGTATTTTATTATCAAATTGCATGTCACCAAAAATGCAATTTCCAAACCCACCGACTTGCTTGAGGGTGCGTTGACGCCACTAGCTGGACACTTTCAAGCAACTCAGTGCAATAATTTCACTTTCATTCAACACCAAACACATTCGTTTTGCATTCTACACACCGCCAACAAGTGCAGCAAAATTTGCCACAAGCGTTACCGTCGAAACTACAATATTATTCTTTTCAGTTTTATGTGAAACCCTGTGCGTTTATTAAGTTCTTGTGTGTGTATGCATGCTTGCTACTTTTATAGCACGCTTTCTTTGTTATTGCCCCACGTTGTTGTTAGTTTTACAGTTTTAGCTTTTGTTGCACAATTGCGCAAACAATTTGTTTCGCCTGTTCTACTGACCTACATCGGCCGTTTATATATACATATATACGTTTGTACTTACGGAGCCGGCATAGGGTGGGGTGTCTTCTTCGGTGTTGATGGCATACTTTCAGGTGCATATTGGCGTTAACTTGATTGCTTACAGTGGCAACACGAAACACACTATACGCGTATAACTATCGTATGTCTAGGTTAGATGTGATGAAGCGAAGGTGCGTTTCAGCGTCGTTTTACAAAGCTATGACAGCCAATAGGTAGGCATGGAAATTTGAAGATTGCCAATCGCGATGAAGTAAAATTGTTGCGAAACTTCTCGATGTCTAGCAAATGAAAGGGAACTCAGAGTTAAATTAGCTATTCTAACGTTCTTTTATGCCGGTTTAAGTACCGAATTTTGGTGGCTCATATTAAAGAGATTGAATAAGACACCGAATGTGCATTTTGAAAATGCTGGAACGCTGCTTTTTAGCCATTATTTCTTGAAAATACCTAACCAAAATTAAGGTGCATTCTATTAAAATCTATGCATTCTACTTTAACTAACCCATTGAGTAAATGTAACTTGATTTGTATATCACCCTGAAGGAAAAGCCGGGGACCCTATAAAAATATATGCATATATAAACAGCGTGACGAGCTAAATTTAGCCATGTCCGTCTGTCAGTTCGTCCGTTTGTGCACCTTTCTGTATATATGCGAGCTGGTCCATAAGGTTTTGAGATATCGATCTGTTTTTCTCTTTTCTCCCCAAGAAGCTGCTCATTTGTCGGAACCGCCAATAATGGACTGCTGTAGTATATAGCTGTCATAAAAACTGAGTGATCAGAGTTGAGTTCTTGTACGTAAAACTTTTTAATTTGAAGGGTTATCCTCACTAAACTTGCCATGAGTTATTTACCAAGACAACGGTGAAATTTCCAAAGAAATTGTTCAGATAGAGTCACTGTAGCATATTGCTGCCATACAAACTGAGCGATTAAAATTAAGTTCTTGTAAGAAATCTTTTGTATTTGTAAACGATATTCTAGTTTCGTTGCAATAAGCAGCTAAGCATTTGATTACTGCGTTACTACTTTACAACTTAATGTGCTTAGGCTAATATATGCATCTACTAAGCTTTTATATTTATATTCACTATTGTATTTAATAATCAAAAACATTCGCAATTCTATACATATTTATAATAATAATAAGTTCACATCCATACTTATTCAGCATAAGTACCGCTTTTAAGTGCCACTAACAATTTTATAGGATATGTCTTTATCAAGAATATTATGGCACAAATATAGCGCACATAAGCCAGCGCATATAAGTAAATGAACGTTCATTTTATAAAGTACATATATATACATATTATATATACATATATAAGTAGTACAAACGCGCAATGAAATATTTCGTACCGCAAGCACACTCTCACACATTCCATATGCAAACATATCTACAATACATTTATTTCAACACGCAAGAATAACTGAAAATTAACTTAGTTTAATTACTTTTGTCGTTTTATGCGATAACTAACTAAAATTCATGGAAAGAACGTGTAAACGTGTTATTAGCTACCGCATGAATGCATGTATGCTTTTATGTGTATCAGTAGGTTTGATCGGCAAGCATACTGTCGCGTGTATATAATATATACGAGGGCTGCTATATAGCTGGCTGGCCTAGGCAACACTAAGTGTTGCCAGGTGCAATCTGACATTTCCATTGCAAAGTTTGACATTTTTTAGCATAACATCACTCAGAACGTTTTGTCATTTAATCGTGAATTTTTTTATTTACAGGGAATGAAAAAACTCATCTCGGCCAAAAAATGGAATTAACTCGTGAACATTTTCGTGCGATCATTTTTCACAACTTTCAACGTGGATTATCACGACAAGAGTGCATCGATGAACTAAAATCTTTGTATGGCTATGAAACACCATCCTATAGGACTGTCAATAACTGGTACAACGAATTCAATCGTGGCCGACGCTCGCTCAAAGACGATTTCCGTGAAGGTCGTCCAAAAACAGCCATTGTGCCAGAAAACAACGATGTCGTACGTGAACTGATAATGTAAGACCATCATGTAACATACTTTCAGGTAGAGGCATGCCTATGCATTTCTCCCACCAGCATACATTCGATATTGCATGAACACCTGGCCGGATCTCGTTGGATCCCGCACAATTTGACAGTCGCTCAAAAAAAGGCTCGTGTGGATTGGTGTAAAGAAATGCTGAAAAAATACGATCGCGGTGCTTCAAAAGACGTTTATAAGATCGTCACAGGTGACGAATCATGGATCTATGCGTATGAGCCCGAAACAAAACAGCAATCGACCGAAACAAAAAAAAACATTTTCGTTGATAAATATTCATATTTTCATTATTAGGCCAGAAATATAAATAGCAGCGCTCGTATTCATATATATTATATGTGAAAATAATAGTTCCTAAAAGAAATTTCTAAATACTTGAAAATATTATCGACACAGAAGTATTCTTCGAAAGCTGATTTTGTATCAATGAATAACCTAATTAGTTGCTACTTAAGCATTAATTTATTGCCGTCAATTTTTAACGACATGAAACTAAGTTTTCGAATTTCCTTTTACTATATATGTGCAGTTTATTGGTCATAGCGTATGAGTAACATTCATTTATAAACAAAAACATAAATGTCACTTATACGTCATGGTGAAAAAAAGATAAATTTAATTTTTGTATTTATAAATATAATATTGGCAATTATAGGTATTAGCAAATAGCCGGTTAGTTTCAAATAATTTACTTCAAAAATTACAAAAACTACAAGTACATCATATTGCGACAAGGTTAAAAATCGTTAGCATTGAAATAAAGAGTAACTATTTTTCAGATCTTTAATTACTTGACATTTTTTAAAACACATCGCTAGAATTTCTTATTAGGATCTTCGAGCCATTAGTAAAATTTACCACAGAAACTGTGCTGCATTTGATTTATGTCAACGTTGACATGTTAGACCATTCATTGGCGCTTATGTTTCCGCTTGCCGGCAGTACTTGTACAAACAAAGCTAACAAAGTCAACTCAGAAGTAACATTTTATTAAAACACTCGAGGTTTATATATTGCTTCAGTACCTAAACAAAGCGCTTTCATATATTAGCAAAATGGATATATTTTGAACATGAGTACTTTTTTATTAATATTTTTAATTAACATAAGTACCTTTTTATTAAAATTGTCTTTAAATATTGTATTTGTATGAGTCATAATTTTTTATTTACCATAATTTTTAACCATAAACTGGTTCTTTAAAATTTTTTTACTCATTTAATATTATATTTATTGTCAACATGTGATGATATACCGTCTGTAGCTATCGAAGCAAAATAACATACTATTCGATACGATTGCTGTCTAAAATTGACCAAAAATAAATAAGAGAAAAGTAAATTTGGAGTTCTGGGTTCGCCGCCAATATTCCCATTTTTTTCAAACGATTAAAATAATAATTTCGTCACAATTTAAAGGCTCGATCTCGTATATATGAAATGGATTTTCGGTAACCCAAATATACTGCTTCTGCTTCATTTAACGGCTGGTAATGGCTGCTAATTTCACGTTTCCAAAACCCAAGTAATCAACTGAAATAATTCATAACTGACGAAGCTTTTACTAATACTACATACTATGTGAGACACCCTGTATATTGACCATTGAAATGGCCAATACTAAAATATGCATAGAAAGCATTTGCGATAGCATCCATCACTCCTGTTTGTTTGTATGTGTGCGCAGGTAAACACACCGGAGCGATCTTAAATCGCGATAGCCAAGCTAATTTATTGCTAAGGAGCTCATGGTGATTGTTGTCAAAACAGCTGATTGCTTTAGCTAAGTGGCAACAGCTTTAAAATGGCAACTTAATTTTACTTCACACATATAACAGGAAAGGGCGGTTAAATTAAGCGCGGTAAACAAATATATTATACTTGACATATTTGAAAGTACACAACTCTACTAATATGAAGAGTTTGATAATTTTTTTCCTGTCGCCATCCATTAATTTGCTTAGCTTGTGAGAACTATATTTTATTTTATTTATTTGTGATTTTCACAAATTTATTTAAAATTTTCTTGGAATCTACAGTTGTATTATTAATTCCACGAACTTTCAGACAAAAATTTGCGCTTTCAACAAGCGATTGCTGTACACGAATCCTTAATAATAGCTCACCTAAAGCCTTATGGTTAATTTTAAGGAGGTGAATATAATTCACTTCACTACTAAACAATTCGCTGTTCTAGTGTAATTCTAGCGCCACAATAAATTCGCATAGAAATCACTTTTATCTATTATATGTACAATATAATATAAGCTCGAAGTACAATATATTCGAAAAACTCAGTGAGAAACGAGAATTGAGACTTCTTCAAATAACTTTCGCATAGTTGTCAATGTGTGCCTATAGTATTTTAAAAGGGTTTTCTGTGTAACTTACCACCGTACACCACACATGTCAGATCCAGTTGACCGCCTTCCTCATACGGACCAGCTCGTGTATCGGATCTCCCATCTGAGTTACTCACAATCGCCGGTTGCTGCGGAGGTACTGAAATCGAAATAAAACAATTAGTTTTGAAGTGGCGAGATTATTAATTACATAAATGAACGTGTGAATGCGTTAAAAGGTAGCACAAAAACGCAAACAAAAACCAACTTTGAAACGGACGTGTTTAATTTTCTTTTGTGGTACATTTTTTCCAATTACCATTCATTTCATATTACTTTAAAATAACTAATTATGGTTTGGTTAAATTTTTTCAATTAGTAGTTGAAGAATCGGAAACAGTAAAGTAAATGAAAATATAAAAGAAAAATTGAGTATACAAATATGCAAAATTTTAATATATTTTCGCTTAATTTTCATTATTACCCTTCATATCAATGAATTATTTTTCAAGTGAAACTTACCGACTACTTCCAAATTAACATTACTATTTCTAGTTTGCGAGAGTTTGAAATCCACTCTGCAACGAAAATTCCCTGCATCTTTTTCCTGAAAGAAAGAGAGAAAGAGAAATTTTCAGAAAATAAATATAAATAGCAAATAGTCATTTGACGTGATATTTCTTAAAAATTATATTATATAACACATTTATTTATTATTTATTAAAATATATATATTAATAAAAATTAAATTTAACAAAAAAAATTATTTTTAAGCTAAGTCCGGAACCTGCCTAAATCTTTATTTCTTTATCTTCTTCGGTAGATTAAAGTTAGCAAAACTAGCCAGCAGGCCAGACCAGCTAATTCGATGATTATTTAATCCATGGCGATTATTCAATGATAATCAAACAACACGGTGAAAAGGCAGATAAAGCTGGAGAAACGATAACGTAAGCCTAAAAAATTATCTGTAAAGAGCGGTATGCCATATTGTAGGCTGCAATACTACAATTACAGTACTTTGTCTACCGATTTGCCTACATATAGTGTGTTGAGCAATAATTAATAGATATATCAGTATAATAGCAAAAAAACGATTTAAAAATTATCTTTTAATAAATGTTTTTAGTAACAGATTGTATTTACTTTTAAGCTTTAATATTATTATCGGTTGGCTTTCAGTGGCCTGATAACACTTTTGGATTGCTTTTATACTGAGCTTGTACGAGTAAAGTTGGCAATATTTGAAACTTTAAGCAAAGTTTTTATAAACTACATAAATGGTAAAACAATTTGCACATACCTTCAGAGGATTTATTATCAATTCAGCTGGCTCCTTATGCGTACGAAAGACGGCACGATCTTCCAGCACGTCCTCATCTCGCCAATGGGATGGCGTGCCTGCATGCGCACCACGTGTATCATAGCTGTAAATGAAGCAAATTTATATTATGTATATATATTGCATTTATAGAATATATATTGTATATGGAAGATTGCGAAGCTTTTGAACGCTTATGGTGCAACAATAACAGTTAGACTTGACACAGCCAATATTTGATCAAAGTTAACGATTAATAATTCGAAATTTATTGAACTGTTATTTGATTCATTTGAAAATCCAAAATTATACAACAACAGTATCGGCAAATTATCAAAAAAATTAAAAGTCTGCCACCTTGCCTCAATCGGTTCTTTTTACTTCGCTTTTCAAAGCTCTTCAGTTTTAATTAAAGACTTTTATTGATAATGCATTAAAATTATCCACAACGATTTCTCCGCTTTGCCAGCAAATTCGTATGTGGTTTAAAAATACAACATAAAATAAAATACTATTGTATATGTTAATAGTGGAGTAAAAATTAATTAACTCACCTATAAATTGGAAGATTATTCTTATACCAAACGACCAGTAAAACTTTATCGTCTGGCAAACTGGAACCGACATCACACTTAATTTGCGCCGAAGTGTTGACCAGCACACGGAGGATCTCGCCATCTGCAAATAAGAAGAGAAAAGCGGTATGTAAAAGTGTATATTCGTATACAAATATACATTTTTGAAGGTGGTGAAAGCTTTCAATATTTATATACATTTTTATGTACATACTGAGGCAACAGTATGCAGAACAAATACACACAAATATATGACTACATTAAGTGTTCAAAAATATCGATCCTTAAACGAAACTTCTCTTTATTTTAATTAAAAATCGAAATACGGCAACAAAAAATCCAAAATAACGGAAATCAAGTGTTGCAATATTAAAATCATAAATGAAGGTAAACAAGCCAGTTACAATTTGTTAATAAATTGATATGCCGGCACATGTTGCATACATAGGTCAAGCGTTGAGCAATGTAAGCACACGCACTAACAACATTAATTTGTTTAAATTCAAAAAATTCGGGCAACTGTCGAGCAAAAGTTGCCTGCTTTAACAAAGAACTGTAATGTATCATATACTTGAACACACTCATATATTTTTTGTAAATATGCACATATGTATTGGTAAGCGCTTTTGGAAGCTGCAATCAACTTTTATTTGCTTTTAAGCATATTATGCTTGTATTCAATACAAACGAAATTTCATTGCAATGGCATACAAATACATATTTTGTTAATTTTTTATAGGAAAGTAATTTTCTTAAAAATAGTTATCGCATTTCTTGTCTAAAGTTAGCTTAAAGATAAGTGACCAAAATAATTTTTTTAGTCGCGCACATATGCCATAGCTGTGAGTTTCTTGTTGCTTACAAGGTAAGCAAAAATTTGTCCTTAAAATTACGTAATTTCATCTTATAGATTCCTGTAAGGTCATCGAATCAAATCATTATAACGTTAGGCTAATTTGAATGAAGTCACCACAAATACCTTAACTGGTAACACAACTAACTTATCGGTTAATTTTTGGTGTTTTTAGGCATTGATAAAATTTTGGAACAATTGAAGAGAGTGAGATTTATCCGAATAATATTCGGTGAACTTAAACTAGAGGTTTGAAATATAGTGGCAGTACAAGGCCTTGTATTCTTCTGTACCAAAAATTGACTAGCAAATTCAGATGCAAAGCTGTCTTAGAAGTTATAGAAGTCTACACTACAGCCATAAGCATTAGGCTACGCAGTCTTTAATTCACTAAGACATCTTTCTTACTTCTGTAGCGACAGTAAAAGTCACTCTTCTCTACTAACACTATAGAAAAAATTCCTCTAGGTCACATAGTATATTATACTTTTTCAAATGTTTTGCATATTTAACGAAACTGATATCAGAAATTTTTAGGCATACCAAAAATTAGACAATTTTCAACTATTACAACAACAACCACAAATCGATATATTTTTTCCAGCTGTAATAAGCGCATATAATTCTCACGATAGACACAAGTAAATTAAAATAAAATTTAATAATATTTCGAGTCTTTCCTAGCCTATTCTATTCTAGTCAGCCAATTTAATTATTTAGCATAATCTGACAATAAAAGCAAGATTGATAGTTTTGCTGAACAATTGAGTGGATGTGTGACTGACATACCGCTAACCTAAAAACGGAACGCCTTTTAATATTCTAGTTTTATAATAAAAACTAAATTCTCAAATCTCTTACGAGAGAAGTTTTTGCTAATTCTCACGTAGTAGCTTACTTTTTTGGCCTGCATTTGGTATATTTTAATTCTATTAATTATTTCTATAAAAAACAAACTTTCCCTCACACCATTTTTCGCCTTTACCGTTTTCTTCTTGATTATTTTTACGTCGCTTATATGCTTAAGGCACTCGTTTCCCCAATACCCGTTGGCCACGACTCTAGCTGCTTACCTGTCTGTCATTCAATTAAGCTGCCAAGATAGGCAGTGAAGCAAGCAATTTTCGCGCTGGCATTCGAGTGGCACAGCCGCCGCATCAGCACTAATGCACGATAAATACAAACGGGGGAGAGAGGAGATTAAATTTAACTTGACGTATAATAAATACGAGTGAATACCATCAAATTGCCGCATGAAGGAGTAAAGAAAATAATCGGCCAACATAAAATGTGAATGGAATAGAAGACAACACGAATATAATTAATTAGCTCTAACTGTCAAAATGAGCAAATAAATGGTCTAACGGAGAAAACAGCAAAAAAGAAAAAAAAACAAAAAATATATGCTGTGCAACTAGAAGTCAGCTACCAGACGACAGCAGTGGCGCTTGGCGTACCCCCCCAACATCGTTCTCTATCCTCTTTCCAGACAGTGCTTTGAGTGGTAAAGCAGCGCATTTAATAGCGAGTCAAGGCAGAACTTTTACCCCGCTGCTGCTAACATCCACATACCCACGCTCTTTAACCTCACCTACTCAGTACACGTACGTAACCGAATAAACTGAATTATTATATTAGACAGCTAAGCAAAATGTTTCAGCATTTAAACGCGCCTGACGATAGGCTATATTCTGTTAAATGCGCGCGAAATTGCCGTGGCCGTGAAGTGGCGGGCGCGTCAGTCGCTTTCAGTCAGCTCGTTATTGGGCATTAAAAAGGGGTCGAGTGCGCCTTTCGCAGGTGATTGGTATTAATTTGCTTGACATTTACTTAATTTTTGTAAACTTTTATGAAATGTTGAAAGTTTTTGTGTACCTACTAGCCAACTTGTGTGGACATATTTTTATTAAACACGCCATTTTATTAATATGTACGTTTGGTTGCTTACAAAAGTTTTGTCTCGTATTAGATGAGTGACAAAACTTAAGAAGTTGTTAAAGGAAAATAAAGCGGTTAGAGTGGCATGTAGCAGAAAATCGTGTTATGTTCAAATTTCATGTCAAGAGAAGTTATGAAGAAATTAATAGTTATTTTAATGCTGTTCACAAAAAGGTTGAGGTCTTGATGTATTCACGAAAAAGTTTTCGAAATTGATGGCACAGAATTAAAAAATAAACTTTACTATGTGCCTTAAGCCATCGACAGTAAATTCTTCATTTAATGTCAACTTTTGATAGGGTTAGTCAGCTCGAACGAATTCATGTCATTCTCTGTTCCTTAACCTGTTCGAAGCTATAGGTTTCTTTATACAACCCTTTTCGTAATGCGAAGAATATATTCGTGGGTAAATTTACAGCTCTTAATAGGCTAGCAATCCCTGTCCCAATCTCAGCAGAGCAAAAATATTCAATTAATAGAAAAATGTTTGCAAAAAAATTATTGGGGAATGCAGAGTCTATATAAAAAGTTCAAGTAAATTTCTTAAGGTTAATTATATTCACGACTCCACCCACAAGTGTTTTACCAAATATCTCGTAAAAGAAAATGCCCTGCGTAATTAGTGTTGGTTGGTGTTAATTAGGCAGAAGTAATGATTTGTATACCCCAAACAGGGTATATAAAGTTTTCCATAAAGTTTACAACACCCAGAGGAAACGTCGGAGACCCTATAAAATATATACATAAATGATCAGCATGATGAGCTGATTTAACCATATCGGTCTGTTTTTATATACGCGAACTTATCCCTCAGTTTTTGTGGTATTAACCTGAAAACTTCTGACTTGTCGTAATCGCTGATATCGAACTACTATAGCACATATCTGCCATACAAACTGAAATCGATCATTTATGTAATTTTGTAAGCTTTTATGAAATAATAAAAGTTTTTGGGTACCTTAAAGGTGATAATGTGCCGAAATATGGTCTGATAGTTAATTTTATTTATTTTTATTTAATTAATATTATTTTATCTTAGTTCATTGTTTTTTATTTTATTCTTATTTTATTTTTATATTATTTTACTTTTTTTGTATATATTTTATTTTTATTTGTTTTTTATTTGATTTATATTTTATTTTATTTGATTCATATTTTTTTTATTTTATTTTATTTTATTTTATTTACTATTACTTCATTTTATTTTTTTTAAATTAATTTAAATTTATTTAATTATATGTAATTATATTTTATTTTTATATTATTTTATTGTTTTTTTTTTCATATATTTTATTTTTATTTTATTTTATTTTTATTTTATTTAGTTTATTTTTTTATTTTATTTTATTTTATTTTATATTATTTTATTTTATTTTATTTTATTTCATTTTATTTTATTTTGTTTTATTTTATATTATATTTTTTGTTTTTTTTTTTTTATTTGATTATATTTTGCTTTATTTATTTTGTACAATATTTGATTTGACTTTTGGTTTGATTTACCTCATTGAGAAAGACAACTATTGTGACGGCCTAAAAAAATGGCAAATTGGCAAAATTGGGAATAGGAGTATGAAAAAACTACTGAAATTATTGTTTAAAAGCTAGGTCTACCACTACTGCAGTGATTGTGATAGTTTTTGTAGTTAAAACCCTAAAAACTTTTGACTAAAAGATATTGCTTGTATGAACGATTAAGAAAAAAATTAAATTTCAATCAAAATTTTAGTGTTTTTGGCGTAACAAATTTTTAATTTTTGATTAAAACAAAAAACGAATATATCATTGTACGAAGAACTATGTAAATAATATGCAGAATATGTGAATATTTAACACTTGTGTGTATTTAACACTAAGTCTGCCCTTAATTTTTTTATGACTGATTGTCGAGGTTTCTGGGCGCAGCTTTTCCTACAGGGTACCCAAAATCAACGCAAATATTCATTGACATATATAAATAAAGCAAAGAATTGCCATATGGCTATATATTGCTACACCTGAGCCTTTTCGTTCGCACACTGAAGTACTGTACGCTGCATTGTGGCAATGTTGCAACTAGCAGTCATGCTATTGCCACTACGTTGCTTTCAACTGCCAAGCAACTCTGCCACAGTGCAACTATTTGGATTTTGCTATAACACAGATTTGCTGAAGCGCGCAAACCGAAATGTTGCCACTACTTATATAGGTATATATGCGATTGCAAAGAGAATGCACAGGTGAGCTGCTTCTCGTAAACAACATCCTTTAAGCACACAACTCTCAGCCACACTCTACTTGCCGCCTTACAGTAAGCTGCTATTGTTTCTGGT